TTGGGCTCACTTACATATTTGTAACGTTTCTGTCAAAGGAATGATTTGGGGTGTGAGTTTTTCCTGTGCCGATGTGAGGGTTTCGGGACAGAGTGTGTTGCATGTGCACAGATTGTACTCTGAGGAAAATTTGTAATTTGTGATTTTGGGCTATACAAAATGAAAAATAATTGAATAAACCCCAAAATGCAACAAAGCATATTCAGGTTTCTCATACTTTTGATTTCGACCGATTTCCAATCCACACCGGCTGTTTCTTTTCATGCCAATGTTTTATGTTTCCTCATGTGGCACTCTGAACAGCAAGTGTAGTAGACCAGAGCAAAGCTAGATGAACAATTGTAATCTCTTGACAATCTTGAAAATCTAATTCTGTAAAGAATGTTATTGTTATTCAGAACAGTACCGTTTTTGACTTATTTTTAAAATAATTCATCAGATATCAGGACTAATTTCCTTTATCTGCTGAGGCTAATGCTGTTTGACTCTCAAACCTGCTTGTTCTCTCATTTTAAGCCCCACAACTGTAGAATTCAGGAAAATCCTACATTTATTGAAGCATTATATGCACTATATCTATGTAATGTACTATGTTTTATTAATGTGAGTCTTAAAAGTAACTCAAGGTACATGTACACTATTTGAGTGGTGAACAAGGAAAACATTTGTCTTTGAAATCCTAATGGAGTAGAAGTATGCGACATATTCAAATGAAAATGAAATACTCATACACAAAAAGTACCTCAAATTATACGTAAGTATAATATTAGGCTTCAAAGCAGAAAAGTACTACTAGGGGTAGGGATTATAGTTTGTGTGATATTATATATAGATTTGGATCATTTCTGTATTAGGAACTAAACAACTGTACATCTTGTACATCATCCAATGATGTACACAGCATCTATTTGATTCTGTCCACCCTGGGAGGAGGGTCTCCACTTTGAAGTCTGGCTTTGTGTCTGGCGGGACGGCCACCAATTGGTACAGCATGGGGAGGGTGAAACTTTTCCTGAAGACCTCCAAGAATATGAAGGGGATAAAGCTGGAGGACTACTTTCCAGATATGGAGCTACACCAAGCAGGAAGACTTCCTGCTGCAAAAGATCGTCGGATGTGAGAAGCTCGCGCCAGGCTTCGCGTGGAGGACTGCGGCCTGGCCGTGGGGGGGGTTGATTGGTCTGCTGCATGGATGAACCGCGCGGCGATCATCTTCGTGGACAGCATGGAGAAGGCACACAAGGTGGCATCGGCGTGGCACTCGTGCCCGTTCTGGCGCTCGCCGTGCCGGCTGCCAAGTTGACGGTATCAAACGTTCCGCCGTTCGTTCCGGACGTAGTGCTGCTCGAGGAGCTGGTGAAGCACGGGAAGTTGGTGTCCCTGTTAAAGAAGGTGTCCTCAGGCAGGGTGCAGGTCTCCTTTGCTGAGACATGTGGTGTCTCACAGTAGACAGCTTCACATGGTCCTCAGCAAAGCCCAGGCTCTCAGCCTGGTGATCAAGGTGAGGATCAAGGGGTTCGATTACGTGTTGTTTGCTGCATCGGATGATGGGAGGTGTTTCCGTTGTGGTGAAGAGGGACACCTGGCGAGGGTTTGTCCAGTAAAGAACCCGTCCACTCAGGACCAAAACCGGGAGGGTGACAGGGAGGCCAGGGAGGAAGAGGGGGTGAGTGAAGCCCAGCCGGTGGGTCAGGTGGGTGAGTGTGGGGATGGGTGAGAACATTACGGCGGTGGAGGGACGTGGCTGTTAACATGGCGTCCAGCGGTTCCTCCTTGGCTTTTGGCAGAGGTTCCAGTAGACTTAGGCTTACTGGAGGAAAAGGAAGTTGCTGAAGTGGATCACTACAGAGTACAGAGATATATTTCAAGGAAATATAAAGAAGCAACCTATATATATACGGATGCATCAAAGAAGACTGATACGAAAATGGGAATCGCATGTTATCCCTCAATTAAACATTAAGTTTTCTAGAAGAATTAATAATGATCTAGCTGTATACACAGCAGAACTGTGCAATATGGATGGCCTTGCTGTGGGTAGAGAGCAACAGACCTAAGCAAGCTGTCATTACATCAGACTCCAGCTCAGCTTTGACAAGCCTTAAACTTCTGCATTCTGAGTCTAGACAGGATATAGTATATGACATGCTGCAGCTGGTTAACAATCTGGTTAACTCCGGGATTAGTACTACATTTATATGGATACAGCCCATATAGGTGTAGGAGGTAATGAACTGGCAGATAAGTGTGCGAAGAAAGCAGCAGAGCTGCCGGATATAGAGGTGAATATTAAATATAGTAAAGCTGAAGTCAAAAGTATAATTAAAGCAAAAACAAATGCCAAATGGCAGTTTATGTGGGATAATGAACAATCTGGGAGGCACCTGTATAGAATTCAAGGAAAAGTGGGGAAGAGCAGGAATACATACAGAAGTAAGTAAGAAGAAGACATGGTGACCAGAATGAGACTAGGACATACAAGAGTAAGTGGAACATTATTTATAATGAAAAAGCACGTTGATGGAATGTGTGAAAATTGCAAAAGTCAAGAGACCATAGAGCATGTAATAATGTATTGCCCCAAATATCATCAAGCCAGATAAAGACTGATTTCACAACTTGGTGAAAAACAGATGACATTAAATTTATATGAGTTACTGAAAAAAGAATCTGGTAAAATTTTGTTTAATTTTTTGTTTTCCTTTTTGAAGATAACTGGGTTATTTGTAAGGATTTAGGAAAGTGTAGGATGACCTCCTGAACCACACTCCAGTCCAGATGGTGGCGGTAATGCTCCAAAAGTTGGTTGCCAACCGCCAATCAAAACCATAAGAAGAAGAAGAAGAATAAAGGAAAGTGGAGGGTTTTGTTTGAGGGTGGCCATGGCAGGTCATGGTAAAAGAGAGCAAGATGGTGACTTTTTGGTTTATTTTTTTTGTTGGTTTTTGTCTTGGCCAAGTCTCCTTACTACTGTAATGTTGTTTTCACGGGTTTGCACTTTCCAAACGGAATAATAAAACGGCCCCTACTCTGCCTACGACTACGCCATCGTTTTTGTAGGATTCAGCAAGTACAGAGAGTGAACCCCGTCACATACCCTTTACCTTTTTTTTGGTGAATGAGTGCTGAGTAAGTTGCTGAAAGGGGATATGGGAAATATTAACAAATAACTAATAGTTGTTGAGTTTCCTAACCTTAATTGAGTGTAAACCAAATGTTAAGCACTTAAGTTTGAGATAGTCCTACCTTGGACCAGTCTCCAGTCTTCCATTCGTAACATTTGGAAAGGTCCTCACAGGGCTCCTCTTCTTTGGGCCGGGAAAAAGGATCACATACACCCTCAGGGTTTGTACATGACACTGTCCGTTTGTGAACACCTTGACCACAGTCTGATGAACACTGGAGGAAGTGATGAAACAATGAATCAGTAACATAATGCAACAGGAAGTAGCATAAAGAAACAGGAGGAGATTTTGCTTATTCTTCCATTCCAGATATTGTGGCACTGGTTGACAATATTTTCAATACTTACCAACTAGACAAATAAAACCAATACCAGTTCTGCATTCCCATAGAGCAACAGTTTTTCAGGATGTTTTGAATATTTCCCTCTCCAAATTCATGAATGTTGGATAAAATTTGTAGGATAAGAATCATGGCTGATTCCCAAATGTTGACGAGCAATGTGAAATCTCAAAAACAAAATCTCTTAGAGAACTGACAGCATCTTAACAAGTTCTGTAACCCGCAGGAGGACGGACCATGGAGCCCCGGACGAAAGTGCACCTAAAGTGCGAGGATGGCAATCGGTGAGATCAATTCATATTATTTCTATAACTGCTGTTTGTTTTCTACAGTTGTCAGAGTGCTGCCGCTCTGAGCGAATCGAGGTGAGCAATGACAACAGCGTAGAGAAAGCTGTTGCACCGCCAATCCCAGTTAGCACATGAAGCTAACTTGTTGAGCTACTAGTTTGACTGTATATATCTGCAGTATTCAACTCAAATGTGAAGAGATCCAGTTAGAGAACATTTCTGGAAGCAAAGGTCCATGATGTAAATATTTAGTGTGACTAAATAGACGGATAAAGTTGTAACAACATCTGCATGTAATCAATACACGACTAACAAATCAAATGAATTCAGTACAATTCAAAAACACTTTGACAGTATTTATTGTCATGTACCAAAGAACTGAACATTGATGTGTGACTGCAAATGAGAAATTCATACCATACAGAAAGCTTATACCGTTACACCGTGCTGCCCTACGATGCTTCTCTCATGTCATCAGCTCGGTGTGTGAATAACGTACCTTAGACCACTCTGAAGCCTCCCACACAGTGAGGCAGAGGTGGCCCTCACAGGCTTGAAGGACAGGAGGTTTCCCTCCTTGGCAGTACAGGTCCCTGGTGTGGATGCGTGAGCCATTCTGTAGATGGTAAACACAGACCACCTCCCTATGCTGAAGGCCTTTACCACACGTGATGGAGCAGGATCCCCACTCTCCGGTCAACCACCTTTAAAAGTGTTTACAGACAGTTCATAACCTACAGTCTACTTGCCTTGGGTCTGAAAGAAACAGGTCTTTCATTTTTACTAGCTTAATATTGTTACCAAATTTTAAAATAAGGAATAAAATAAAAATATTTATTTTTAAATAAAGGATTTCTGTCTCCAGCATCGATGGCGCTCGTACAGGACGTCATCGTGACGTCATACGGGTCTTTGTGATCTCGGAGAAGTCTCCCCCTATAAAGCGTTAACCTAACTGATATCGCTCCTTCATCAATGAGGAAGACAGCTGCTCTTTTGTTCCGGCGGAGTGATGAACTAGTTTTTCGATGGGCAATACCTGTAAATTATGGTAGCTAAAAATATGAGAGAGAAGTCTTCAGTACTTTACAACACTCAAAGGTTTTCTTCATGATGGTGTCAGGAATTCATATGGATGTTTCCTGAATAAAACCAACACAAAATGCTGTGAGTGTGTTGGTCTCACCGGTACTGACAGGGTTGAGAGTTGCAGAGTCGTACTTTGGGTAGTGGTCGGTTTTCAGGATGACAGTAGCTGTTGTTGACTGCTTCCATGGTTTTATTGGCTATCCTCACACAGGAAACCACTGTCCTCCTCTCACCTGCATGCACACACACGTGAGCAAAACACAAAGAAATGGGCCGCATTATAATGAGTGACTGATCAATATCAGAAAGTGGAAACACATTTCTGCATTTTATATCTTTCATGTGTTCATACTTTTTCTGTTTGTTTTTTTAGTTGCTCTTAACTGTAGTTCTACAGCATTGTTACACCATCTGCATCCCCAATATTAAATGTACGAAGGATTTTGACTCATGGAACATTGAAAGAGCATACTCATTTTCTATTGTCCATTATAACAGTGCATGCTTATTGTTATTCTATTACATAACGTCGGTGCTGACCAGCTAAAGAAATATGTCGTTAAACTCAGCGGCGGCTGGTGGATTTTTGGATTACTGAATCAGATTCAGTAAACATTCCAGTAAGATTCAATGCAAAAAAGGGTATCAAACTCGCATTATTACTTTGCAGTTAAATATTTAACATTTATTCCAACAGTTTAAATAAGATGTCCTTATTTTGTTAAACAATTCAGAAAATGATATAACTTCCATATCGTAACTATTGTAAATATCATACAATATATGAATTATATGAAAGGATAAATATATTTACATAAAATTTGAACATGTGTGTATATATACGTATATATTGTAACGGACTGGTATGTTCAGTAAGCGAAGCCCCAATTTACTATGTTTTAGAAGTTCAGTAAAGGTTACGCCAATCATCCTAGTGCCACCTATGGAGACGTGTTGTGGGGATGTTTGGGGGCCGGTGGAGTAGGTAACGCGGGAGCGGAGTTGTGTCGGAGGTGCTTGTCGTTGTTCGGCGTAGGCTACGGCCCACAGTAGCCTGTTCAAGTAATAAAAAACATAAAAGAGTCCATTGTCTGGAGCTTTATTAGCGAGAGTCGCTACATTGGTGTCAGAAGTAAAACTTCGCCATCCGTTGGAAGTCTTCCCATCAGCTGACTGCGGAGAAGCTAAGTGGCTAGCTCTAACCACGCTGATAGGGATGTATCCGGACGTACGCCGTAAGATAAAGCAGGAGGGAACCGATGAAAAGGGACGGGACGGCGCAGCCGGAGCCATGAGGCCACGAGGATGGCTGCCGAGGATGGCTTTGGATGCTCGGACCGCTCTGTCGGTGGATTTAACGGCCATAGAGAAATGGACATGACGACGCACGCTGAGCCACGCGGGGGCGCTGTTCTGCCAACAATAAAGACCCCCAGGTATGACGGAAAAGCGGACTGGGAAGCTTTTCATGCTCAATTTGAACTGCTAGCTCAGACCTGTGGATGGTCCACGGAATTAAAAGCCCTTCAACTAGCGATGTGCTCACGGGTGATGCTTTGTCCTGCTTGCTGCTGCTGAGTCCTGTCGATAGGAGTGATTATGATGCACTAATCGGGGCTCTTACGCGACGTTTTGGACAATGCTCTGCTGCTCCGCTCTGAACTGTGCAGCAGACAGAGGCAGCCGGGGGAACCACTGAGCTAATGACATCGAGGGGCTTGTTCACCGCACCTACGCCCACATGCACCCTCCCATCCAAAGCGAGCTCGCAAGAGACCATTTTCTCCAGGCTCTACTGACACCCGACCTGCGCGTGCAGACACTACTGGCTCACCTTGGGTCCCTCCAGGATGCTCTGGAGTCTGCAACAGAGAGAGATGCTGTGTGCTTTGACGGGGGAGTTGGAAATTCCCCAACAGGGAGACCTGCTGGTGGGGTTGAGATGGACAAGGTGCAGCCTGCCTGGATGGGGGAGCTGACCCAGCTTGTGAGGGCTGCCACCCTTGAGGAGCGACACGGGGCTCCAGGATCTGGTCATTTTGGCGTTAATAAGACCCTGCGCCGCCTCCGTCAAGGGTTCTACTGGGGCCAACACAGGCAGGACGTAGAGGACTTCTGCCGCTGCTGCGACAGCTGCACTGCAAGTAAGGGGCCTGCAGGCAGATCTCATGCCCAACTCCAACAGTTTCCAGCAGGATGCCCCATGGAGAGGGTGGGGATTGATGGCCTCGGACCGTTTTCCCACACTGAGAGAGGTAACCGGTACATCCTCACTGCTATGGACTTTCACCAAGTGGCCCGAGGCATACAGCCTCTCAAACCAGGAGGCAGAGACTGTAGTGGACGCTCTGGTGGGAGGGATGTTGAGCAGATTTGGCGCACCTGAAATCATCCACACAGACTAGGGCAGGAACTTCTCTGCCATGTGTGAAAAACTTTGCTCACACAAGACTCGCACTACACCACTTCACCCACAGAGTGATGGACTAGTTGAAAGATTTAACTGCACGCTGGCGCAACAGCTGGCCCCAGTAACAGCAAAACACCAACGCGACTGGGATGACCACGTTCCTCTTGTGCTGATGGCCTACAGATCTGCGGTGCAGGAGTCCACTTCCTGCTCTCCTGCCCTTCTCATGCTAGGCAGAGAGATCCGGACGCCAGCCGAGATGATGATGGGGAAACCCCCTGATGCCTCTGCAGGTCCTCCAGGGCTTGAGTACGCGAGGAAACTCCAGGATCGCTTGGAGTCTGCCCATGAGTTTGCCAGGAACCAGCTACGCAGTGCAGGTGTGAGGCAAAAGAGGAACTATGACATCCACATGACAACCCGGAAGCTGTCCGAGAGGGAGGCCAGGAACAGCACGGTGGAAATGGAGTTCCCGGTTAGCTCCCCGGCCCAGTCGTTTCTATGTAAATCTTTAACCCCACCTCCTGGATATAGTTTTAAAATATACAATATGATCAGAATTCTCTTAAGGGATAATATGTATGGTAGCAATGTTCTTACAGTGAAATATACGTCATTGAAATTACATTAATTTCATTAATACATCTTTCTTTAAACATACAGAATATTGAAAGGAGATGTAATCATCCAAGACCTGCAGCACAAAGCACAGCCTAGGCATATTTGTCATCAACAAGGAAGGTGCAGAAATGGGATATTACAATGACATTGTGGATCTTTTGCACAATCATGTGCAATGATATTGTGAATCATCTACGTTACATTCTAAATTCAACGTAAAAAACATCTGGATTTGATAAAGTTTCATAAAGTTGAGTAAATTCAATTTGATTATTTTCAGTGTATGAATGGAAACACGGATCGTGTGAAATTTAATTATAACTTTGTTTTGCAATAATGATATAAAACCAAACCAACTACCCTCAGGGATATCCATGAGAAATTTACTCTAATGGCTAGTAACCAAAAATAGATTGTCAGTAATGTAACCTCACATGATTATAGTCTGGTGCATGTGTGCGTTGGTCTGTGGATGTTACCTCCACCACATTTGACAGTACAGTCCTGCCAGTTGCTGTGAGTCCAGATGTAGAGATGTGTGTCACTGTCCTGGGTTGTGTTCAGAGACACTGTGTACTCATAGTGGATCCCATAGCTCTGGTCATGAAAGAGCAGCACCTAAAGACATGACAGAAGGCTTAAAGAAAAGCGCAGCCTTTCGTAAAGCTTACCATCACCTTTTCCATCTAAATTCTAAAACAGATTCAAATTCAAAGCAGAAGGTAAGAGTAAGGAAACATGACACACTTTACAGTAGATTATACCTTTTAAACAGCATATCTCTCCCACCAACGTTGTTACATTGGACTAGCCTGACTGCTAGGAACATTGGTGTGACACTCCAGCAGCAACATGTTCCCGTAGATACATGCTGCACAACAACAGGAGAATACCTCCCATTCACACTCAGAAGTGCAGAGCAGGTTCTGGTACACGCTACGATCATCTCACGCCTTGACTATTATAACTCCCTCCTAGCAGGTCTACCTGCCGGCACCATGCAACCTCTGCAACTCATCCAGAATTCAGTAACTCAACTGTTCTATCACTACCAAGGAGTGTATTTCATTTTGATAATCTTTCATAGTGCCTTCAGTTTTAAGGAGTGTTTTTTGTTTAGCGACATTGCCTCCGTCCAAAGAGTGCCTACCCGGTATTCTGATAAAGTTAAAAGCCTTTTTGTTTGTGGAGCGAGTTTTGGTTGATCATTTTTATAGCTCGTATTTATTTCTCTGCCTTGGAGAGATCCAGTCTTACTAATAAAGACTACAAATCCCTTAAAACCCTGCAACGGTGTCCTGTGTTCTGCTGGGTCGTGACAGTTACTTTGTATGGTTGTGGAAGCTGTTCCAAGCTGTCCAGTAAGACGAGCGGGATTTACGAGTTGAGCGTCAGTGCCGATATAGAAGAACCAGGAGGGGGGCGGTGAGGGTCTTCAGGTGGCACAGGACCAGTAGTTCAGTGGCCCTCCACTACATCCACTACATCCTACATCCTCCAGCATCTGGACTCGCCAGGAACCTACGCCAGGATCCTGTTTGTGGACTTCAGCTCTGCCTTCAACACCATCATCCCGTCTCTGCTGCAGGACAAACTCTCCCAGCTGCACGTGCCCGACTCCACCTGCAAGTGGATCACAGACTTCCTGTCTGACAGGAAGCAGCACGTGAAGCTGGGGAAACATGTCTCATCCTCCTGGACCATCAGCACCGGTTCCCCTCTGCTCTTCTCCCTGTACACCAACAGCTGCACCTCCAGTCAGCAGTCCTTAAAGCTCCTGAAGTTTGCGGATGACACCACCCTCATTGGACTGATGAGTGGGGATGAGTCCGCCTACAGGTGGGAGTCTGACCATCTGGTGACGTGGCGCAGCCAGAACAACCTGGAGCTCAACGCTCCGCACTGGAGCGTGGTGACAAAGCATCCGGCTATGCGTGGTTATAGCTGGGGCGAGGTTGGCTTCTTGTATAATCATGTAGATGCCATTGAAGCTTTTGGATCATAAGGAATCTCTGGGACTTGTTGAGAGATTGTCGTTGTAATCGGAAGGGGAAAGCGCGATGGCATCCATGAGGGAGCTGCCCTCGGTCCTGGTTTGGAATGTGGCAATGGGACGTGTTGGAGGCGTGGTCCTGCTCCCCAAATTATGCCTATTAGCTTCAATGAACATACATTAATTCCCCAAGTCTACTCTGCTCCCCCGCCACTGCTTCCCAGTGGCTGCCCACTTTGTTTCAAAACGTTGGTACTTGCGTACTGTGTGGCCAACAGATCGGGTCCAGCCTACGTTCACAACATGGTCATACCTTTGTTGGGACTCTTTGTTGAATGCACTTATTTTAAGTCGCTCTGGATAAAAGTGTCAGTTAAATTGGGGATCCCCAACCACTGGGCCGCAGAGAAAATGACCAGTTCCTGCCACAACTACTAACCCCCCCGGACGGTTATTTCGCTGTGTCTATTGGCCACACATTCAACACCGGTCCGCAAAATATTGTCTAACATGAAACTAGTCCCTGAGTCAAAAAAGGTTGGGGACCCCTGAGCTAAATGACCAATAATGAAATGAAAAAAAAAGTAGGATCCAAATGCAGAACCAAGCACAAAATAAAACTACTTTATTAAAGTATGAGTACAAATAGTTCTAGGGGCAAAATGGGGACAAGAAATAAACACAAACCAAAAACTCACAGACATGAATAGACAATGACATAGAACAAGACGTCAATAAAAAAATCCCAAAAGCATTAGTGCCACGAGCAAGATGTGTCAATTCTGCCGTTTTATCCAGGGTGTCTTATTATTAAATAGAAAATCTACATTTACCATCAGGTGTAAGGGTGTCTTGGTGGGTCCCTTGGCAGACATCTTCTCCCACAGTCCCCTTCTAACGTAGTGTACCGTGGTTCCGGCCAGCTCAAATTCTCCAGGAAGCTCAATCTTCCAGTCGCTGTTGATAGACCTCTTGATGGAGTCTCTCAGAGCTGTGAGGAGATATAGGTCAGAAGTAACACTTTCAAACTGTGTTTTATTAGGGAAAATAAACATACATTTTTTCCCCTGCATTACCAATTCATACCAGGATATATGTCATGGATTAATACCCGACTGTCCTGAAATTTTGGTTCATAAAAAATTGCAGTATTAACGTTAAAATCAAGAGAGCAACCAGTATTAACTAATTATATATAATTATTTACCAAATCACATTGTCAAAGTGGAATAATAATATAATTGTAAAGCCAACCATGCTAAAATTAATGCATATTGGGTGGATGGTTGAAAGATTTACCTCTAACTAAAGATATGTGAAAAATAGCAATTCTTAAGTAGTTTAAAACTTGTGCATCATTACCTAGAAAGCTGTGTGATGGTTTGTCCTCAACAACTTTAATCCTCCTGGCTCCTGCAGGAATAATGACGGCTTCAATGTACCCTGATAGAGATTCACAAATGGTGAAAATGAATACACAGGCAACATATTACTGGGGACAAACATCCAAGAAACCTTGACAAGGGTTGATCAAATAATTAATTTAAGGCAAAAGTTAGATGAATTTACATTTGCTGGAAGCTGTTCACAGTGTGAGTCCCTCATTAACTTGGTGACCTCTACTGGGAACTATCAATATACATTGTGAGGATCCTTCGTTTTACTTTTGATAAAAGATTCAGACAGTTGGACAAATAATGAGGTGAGGACTTTAATGTCTGTATCACATATGGTCTATCAACTGGACTTCTCTGGCAATCTAACCGATCCCCTTTCTGTCACCTGCTGAATATATAATACATCACATACAGTGCATCCGGAAAGTATTCACAGCGCTTCACTTTTTCCACATTTTGTTATGTTACAGCCTTTTGCAGTTTTATCTTCGTCATTATGGGTTGTTGTGTGTAGAATGTTGAGAAAAATAATGAATTTAATCCATTTTGGAATAAGGCTGTAACATAACAAAATGTGAAAAAAGTGAAGCGCTGTGAATACTTTCCAGATGCACTGTATGTTGCACTCCCGCCTGAGAACGAGAGCACCCCCAGCGAGACACGCTTCCTGCGGCTCCTCCACCTGGCTGCTGCTCTGGCTTTCTCCCTGTGCCAGGTGATGTCCCTCGTCAACAAAAACCAGGATTATAACCCTAGCCAACAAGGCTAATATCGCTACATATAGAGGATGCACAGCCACTTTCTGTAACCACCGGGACTATCTGTAGTTGTTAATGAATGTTACCTGCTTATATTTTGGTTTACCTGAGGCAAATGAAAGGGAATATTGTAGTGGACACTAAGCTAGCTAGCTATTTTGTTGAAAATGATCTCCAGTGAGTGTGAACGAGTAAATTCGAAATACAAAAAATAAGTGAAACTGCAAGCAGCGATGGACGGGTCCTTGCTACTCCGCACACATCGGGCACTGTCGGGACGCCTACAAATGTGGCGAGAACGGCTGTGGGCGTCGGACAAAGTGTCCGCGAGTCGTTGTTAACCGCGTGGAGCACCGCTGGGAATGACGCTTTGTAAACTTTAACGTTATCAAGGTATTTTCTGACAACATTTGAGAGGGATATGATTAGTCTGCAAGGAGCAGGTTATAAAGTAAAAAACCTCTTTGTTATTCCATGGAGAATTGTGGTATTTTGCCAAAGGACTACACTCACATAGTTGAATGTTTTTTTAAAGTTCTTCAAAGGCAAAGGTCTGAAGATCATAATGCCCGAATTTGAAAAGAATTGGCTTTAATCTCTGGAGGAGATTCAGGAGTTCAGTCTTCTGAACGGAACGAACGGAAACATCAGACAAAAGTCTAAATGGCCTAATCCTGGTAGGGTTTTGAGCATGGTCCCTAACAGTGTTAATTTTGTCGACGAAAACTAGGACAAAAAATGTTCGTTAACGACCCTATTCCCATGTGTAACCCTCTGGTAATTAATAAAATGGTAATTAATAAAATGTGAAATGTACTGCCAATCGCTTGCTAGCTCTCACACCATAAATATCCGGGTCGGGGAAAGGTCACTTCCTGTTATGGATCACAATCCCACTCGCGGTGACAGCTAGGGCAACAGAATTCCTCGTTCAGCGGTCAGGTTTTTGAACCAGGACACAAGGGGTACCTGAAGGCGCTCAGATCACCATTTGGAGCTACCAACCGGACCAACCTTCCAGTCCTGGAGACGTGGTAGCATAAGGACACAAAAACATTTCCATGGACCTCAAAATGGATTATATACTTTACTTTCCATTGTTTTCTTTCTGGATGGACTAGAACTAACCAAATTTCTTTATTAATAAATACAGTCTATAAATACACCACGGTAACAGCTGGACTGACTCATCGTTGGGTTTTTTTCTACACACATTTGGCTCCGTAGGCGAATTTGAGATCTTTAGGTCGAAGTGATAATTTAAGATTAAAGTAAGGTTAAGCTTCGGTTGGGAAAACCTCAGGCGATGGTTACACATGACTAAGACGAGACTAAGCCGTGACGAAACTGGATCTTTAAAAATAAAAAATAAACTATGACTAAATCTATTTAAGCTTTCATTAACGAGACGAAAATGTTGGTGGTTGATGAAGTCACCATTTTTTACTTCTTTTAATTTAAATTTTAGTAGCACTTAAATGGAAACTTCCTTATACCAGGGCTTGACATTTGCACCCGCCAACCTGCCGAATCCGGGTGGACTTCAGCTGTGGCGAGTAAAGCAGTTTCTCTCACTAGCCACTTTGGCAAGTGTAATTCTATATCTTGTTTATTGTAGTGTAATGGCGGTCACATTGGTCACATTGGTGGAGCGGTGGTTCTTGTGCACCGACTACGGACCGTGACAACTATTATACACCGTCTCGGCCACCGTACGCTCGTCACTAAGCAGCATAGACGCGCAAACACATGACAGTTGGAGGTTTTCTGCTCAGTGCAAGTGAAGGACGTGGTCGCACATGGCAGGTGTAGGAAAACCAGGAGGACAGACACAAAAAACTGGTCATGAAACCAAAAAATAAAGAGGAGACAAAGAGAAAGAAAAGACTGAAGTGGGTGTCCAGTTGAGGATGGCTGGTTTATGATGCAGCCAAGAAAATAATGTATTACAATTTGAGCATGTTTAATACCTCAAAAGCACCTTCGTTGTTTACGGCGAAGAGGTTGCCACGGCAACATCGTTACACCAAACATAAAATGCTACATGGGAAGTCATCAAGTTTGTGGATGCTACAACTTACCGTCCTTTATCACCTTCTTATAATATTCACAGTGAAGCATTATCAAGGTCTTAAGTCTTTTCTGACAACTTTTGAGAGGCATCAGATTAACCTGTGATAAGCAAAGTTTAAAATTAAAAAACATTTACCTTCCTGGTGCAATGACTAGGATTAAAAATGATCATATGGATGTCAAGGTAAGGAGGACATTGGCATATTAGAAATATGGAGCAGATTAGATCATGTATGGTTGAGTTACAACAACTTAAATTTTCACAGCAAATGTTGTATTTTTACCGATTCTCTGCGCTCACATAGTTGTTTTTTTTCAAGCTTTATGCAATTTTTGAAGGCAAATGTCAAGATTACACCCCCAAATTTGAAAAGAATCGGGTTAAATATCTGGGAGGAGCTCAGTCTCTTACAACTCCAGAAAAATGATAAATAGGCCAGAAATAGCATAAAAAAGCAGATATTTATAAATTAAAATAGGTTTATTAGTTGTAGCGTATAATAAAAATAATAATTCCTTGAAATACAATAAGTTCCTCCAAAACTAGTTGTGCGAGCAGCGATCAACCGGCCTTTGCCACTTTTCGCAAAGCGATAGTTGCATTTGCATACCATTGACTTTTTTGTAGAGCATGCGGATGAGCAGCTATGAAACAAACAAAACAAATTCAAGTCAATTGGCCATCAGGGGCAAAAGGTAAGGTAATAGGCAAAAGTGCCAAATTTATAGGGGGCGGAATAGAGCCATTTCTTTATACCCAAATGCTCAACCCCAAAAATATCTACATTTTTTGCTGTTTTGATTTGCACACCAAATCTTCAGGAAAGCATGGTTGAAGGCCCAATTTCATCATGGATGAGCGCTCAGCAGCTGTTATTACGGCTCAAACTTCTACTGTTACTACTGTACTGCCACTATGAACCAAAGCTACTACTATTACTGCTTCCACAAATAGTAGACACCTATATCACTGATATGCTTCCACTACATATGCCTTAAAGATCACTAAGATCTTCTGACACCAATCTGTTAGTGATTCCCAGAGTAAATACAAATCATGGGAAAGCATCATTTAGTTACTACGCAACAAACAGCTGGAATAAACTTCCTGAAGATTTAAGACTTGCCCCAACTCTGACCACGTTTAAAACAAGACTGAAAACTTTTATGTTCAGCTTCGCCTTCTGCTAAATTTGACCTACATTGCACTTTTAACCTCTGCCTTTAATTAAACAATTTAAATAAGATTTTAATTTATAATTTTATTTGCTGTTTTTAATTGTCTTTTAATTCCTGCATTTTATTTCACTTTATTGTATGAAATGTTATAATGTGAAGCACTTTGAGTCTGCCTTGTGTATGAAAAGCGCTATACAAATAAAATTGCCTTGCCTTGCCTATTTGTGTTTCTATGAAGCCGTAACTGCTCTCATTTGAAATACTGCTCCTCCAAAATTCGAGATCATATCTAAAAAAGTATGAATTTCAAATTAAGAAAAAATTAACTTCAATAATACATCTTACTACTGCTAATGTTGGCATATATACATATATATACATACACATATATATATATATATATATGTATATATATATATATATATATATATATATGTATATATATATATGTATATATATATATACATATATATATATACATATATATATATACATATATATATATATATATATATATACATATATATATATATATATATATATATACATATATACAGTAGTGGAGCAGTCACAGAATTTTTTATTTTGCATTTAAAAATGTACCTGCTCTCATATACAGCCTGGTTGGATAATTAACACACATTAGACGCACACATTCTCACCCATTCCTTTGGTGTGGGTGAATTTTCCGCTCGCTATCTTACAGGAGCGCCCATCTCCGTTACATACACCACAGTGGTCCTCTTTGGCTGTAGGGCCGACGATGCCATCACAGCCAATTTTCTGAACAAAACAAAATAGTGAAAAACAACAAATCAAAAATTGTTCACTGACTTGACTGTGTGTCCTTTTGAGGGTGTGTTTTCTGTATGATTTTACATTGACATTTTATGAAGGCTAAATATCAGTTTATCTTGGTGTCATTAAATCAATCCAACCATCAGAAGAGTTTTTAAAAGACAACAAAGTAGCCTCAATTTAGAATATTTCAAAGAAATATTCAACTCCTTTGGGAATTGTATGAGAAGAGAGAAAATTAATTGAATGAATGAATCTTTTTTTTGCCTTTGTGAGTCGTTCTGTGTGCATTTGTAATTATTGAGACTGATCTTACCCCATACATTTGACCCAGAACACAATGTGTCTCTGTGAGAGACCACAGACTCTCTATCGTGTAAGTAATATCAAGGCAAAACATTATTTAAGTTTTCTCAATATAATGTTTTTGTGATCAGAATGTTATGACACTGAAGACATTTAGAGCTGATTAGACAAAGCAGAGCCGACCTACAATAACTTTCTCTTTCATGGTGAATGGTGTGGTTTTGCGCTTGTCATGCCCTACAAAGAGCCCCCTCTCACACCTAGAATCTAGTTTCCCTCTGTCTTGCTAGTAGGCATAGCACACGGACAAATGGATGCATCCTGGCTAGATTGCACTTTTTACCTGTCAGTGCTGTATATGGGGTAGTGCCTGTGTGCTTGTTAAAACACCGGTTCCTGGTATAGTCTGCTTCCTGGATGGCATAGTGTCAAAGACTCTGTCACTGTGGATCATTACATTTGGCCTTCTTGAAAAGAGCTGTCCCGTTCTGGTGCAGGGAGTAAGGACAGGAAGTATTGTGTCTGATTTTGTTCTTTCTCAGTAGTGTCTGAAACGCTCTGTTAGTGAACTCGGCCCCGTTATCTGATTTAATGCATTTCACAGTGCCGTTACATCTGCCTGGTCCTTCTCAGTGACCTGAACTGCATCACTTTTTGCTTTACAAAAAACGTTAGAATCATTCTTGGTTCCTGGGCCCATAACCTATTAACAGGTAGGGTTACCTTTTGCCTACCTGCACAGCGAAATAATGATTCCAAAGGATGAACATTGATAAAGTCATTAGTCACACGTGACTCAACGCCATATAAGGCGCAACAGCCCCTCCTGAACAAATAAAGCTACATGCATCCATACACCACCCTTAAGAATAGTAGCCCAAGCAGCTCATTTTCATGAAGAAATAAACATTAGAGTAAGAATCTCCGCTTAGACCACACAGCTGCTCAGGTCCTAATAATTCCTTCCGATAGGATCCTCAACGCCCGACTACCTTGACACTTAGGCACTAAATATGATGCTTTTTATTTTTACAATGCAGTCCCTCTCATTGTGACCCATCAATGGAGCAGTATGTCCGACGATTGTCCGTCTTGGGTGAAGACACTGGGCTCTGACCTAAGCAAGGAACCTAGTGTAGCTCACTGCTGTTCACATCTGCTTGTTATCGTTTCTGTCTAATGGTACAGTGGCCTTTGTGTTGTTCGGCCTGGACAAGTGTTTAAGTGTCCTGCAGCTTTAGCAATACCAATAGGAGGCTATTAGTCGGGCAACCGGGGTCGGGTTAGTCACTCTGGTGCTCTCTGCCCCGATGCTGCGAGCACCATGCGGACATATTTGCGACATATTCATGTTAGTGCGTATAAAATAATAACAGTTTTTTGGGTCAGGAAATGGAAGGGGAAACATGGAGGGGTCGGAAAATGGGGGAGAGAAGTTATCTTCGCTCAAAGAAAGGGACGTTCAGTTCGATCATGATGAAGTTCTGTTTCATCATGATCGAACAGGAACTGTCCTGTAAGTCAATACAGTGGGTACATTCCATAACATAAATTGGAAGGAGTATTGACACATGTTGGCGGGGCGTCTGTGTACCTGACATCTTCCATTGACACACAGGTCTGCCTCATATGGTCCACAGGGCGTCCCATCCATCACTCTGTCAGCCATCAGGACCGGGACATCTCGACCCACTGGGCTGCAAAATAACGCACAAGGCTTCTCTGCTCATACACACACACACACACACACACACACACACACACACACACACAACCCCACATACACAGTAACACAAAATTCTGTAAGGCACACAAACAAACAATGTGAATGGATCGGGTCCAGCTTACATCCAGGACATGGTCAAACCCGACATCCCGACCCGCACTCTCCGCTCTGCATCTGCAAAACTACTCGTCCCTCCCTCACTGAGAGCAAAACACTCGACTAGATCTCGACTCTTCGCTGTCCTTGCGCCGAAATGGTGGAACGAGCTCTCTGAAGACACCAGGACCGCAGAGAGCCTTCACATCTTCCGCCGCAAACTAAAGACACACCTCTTCAGACTCTACCTCGACTAAAGACTAACAAATTGTAGCACCTAAATTGTACTTGTAACGCCACTCATCTATAGCAAATTGTAAATTGGCTTATGAGGAAATTGCACTTTCTTGTTCTCCTGAGTTTGTACCCTATGGTTGAATGCACTTCTTGTACGTCGCTTTGGATAAAAACGTCCGCTAAATGACATGTAATGTAATGTAAAGACCCAAGGGAGGTCCAATCAATAATAATCACACTGTATTGGCCGGATCCAGTCCAGGTGAGCCGAGTACAGCAGCACTTTAGACCTGCCATAGGTCCAGTGGACCCACACTATCATTCTTTCCCATCAGCATGCTGCCGCCTGCCAGCCCCATGCAGCCTCTTGGCGTGCTCAGTTGTCTGACCCACAGGAGGAATATGGTGGCAGGCATCAGGTTCCAGGTATGGTTGGCGGACTGCTTTCACTGGCAGGCATTGACAAATTCTGTTTTGTGCACGCTACGAGCACTGTTACCAAGTGCCACCAAAGTGTTACTCAAAATCTTGGTGAGGTACTTACTTCTTTAAATAGCACTGAGGCACTTATGGCACTTTTTTAGACGCAATGGAATGGGGAGAAGCTCAGTTTGAGCTTCACCTTGTTATTGGAGCTCTCAAAAAAGTTGAGGATTCATAAAAGATTATCAGAAGCCTGTGCTGTGGAGTAGTGTGAACACAGCATTTCATTTTTTACTGGTAATTTTTTCATCCAACTTAAGGAGGTAGAAAAAAGTAGTAAAAATTGTAGTATTAGATAAGGATAACCCGAGTAGATACAAAATGTATTTCTTAAATGATGATTTCAGTAGTTAAAAAATCTAAATCTAAATCTACATGGCCCTATGAGAAATAGTAAGTTCACTTTTCACACGCCCTTGATAATTCACCAATGAACTATGATTGACCACATTTTCTGGAATGTGGGGTTAAATGTACCTAACACACAGTATAACACACCAAGCCCTCATTATTGCCCAACTTGTTGAACCAAGAAAGTAGGCTAACAAAATCTACAAAAGCCCATAACTATGCCACAATCTAGAAAAACTAAAGAGCAGATGAGAAACAAAGTAATTCACATGTATCAGTCGGGAAAAGGTTACAAAGCCAATTCTAAGGCGTTGGCACTCCAGCGAACCACAGTGAGAGCCATTATCAACTAATGGAGAAATTCTTAAATGATGATTTTATTTATGAGGTAAAACATCTATTGAAACCTTTATGGCCCTATGTGAAAAAGTAATGGCCCCCTTACCCTAATAACTGGTTGTGCCCCCCTCGGCGGAAACAACTGCAATCAAGCGTTTGCTCTAGCTGGCCATTAGTCTTCACATCGCTGTGGAAGAAGAAGCCCACTCGTCCTTGCAGAATTGTTTGGATCATGAATGTCTCATCTCAATTGGATGCAGACTTTGACTAGACCATTGCAAAACCTTCCTTTTACTACTTCTGAGCCATTTGGCTATGGACCTGCTGAGAGGCTTTTGGATCGTTGTTGACTCTTGTGCTCTTAAACTTCACAACGTCACAAACTGATGACATTCTCGACGGTGCTGTTTGTTTCTTGTGGTTTGTGTTGTTAATTCTGTTTTCTGTTGGGATTCCCCAAGCTCTTTCTCCAGAGATGAGCTCATGAACATCCGGGGAACAACTTGAATTACTTCCAACTTTTCTTTTTTCTTCTGGAATGGAATTACTGGACATTCTAGTCAAAGGTGTTACTCACGCGGTGAGACGCCGTAGGAGAGGAAAACAGGCTCTTTAGTGCTCCGCAAGCGTGGTTCTCGCGCACCGCTGCCGGGCATCTATCTCTCCAACGTGCTTCACTGAGCAACAAACTGGACGAACTTCAGCTGCTGGTGAGGAGAGACAGAGACTTTTCTACATCCTCCGTTTTGAGTTTCAAGGAGACCTGGCTTTGTGGATCGATCCCAGACTCCGCGCTCCAGCGGACACTCGCCGATCAGATACAGCGCGTGGAGTGGACCAACCCGGACTCCTTAGTTATTGTCCTTGGGGACTTTAACAAAGGAAATCTCAGCCATTACATTACATTACATTACATGTCATTTAGCTGACGCTTTTATCCAAAGCGACTTACAATAAGTGCATTAAACCATAAGGATACAAACTCAGAAGAGCAATAAACAAGAAAGTGCAATTTCCTCAAATAAGTCTGTGTCTTTAGTCTGAAGATGTGAAGGCTCTCTGCGGTCCTGATGTCTTCAGAGAGCGCGTTCCCCCATTTAGGAGCAGGACAGCAAAGAGTGGTGATCTAGTCGAGTGTTTTGCTCTCAGTGAGGAGGAACAAGCAGGTTATCAGATGCAGAGCGGAGAGTGCGGGTTGGGATGTCGGGTTGGACCAGGTCCTGGATGTAAGCTGGACCCGATCCGTTCACAGCATGGTACGTGAGCACCAATGTTTTGAACTGGATGCGGGCAGCCACCGGTGAGCGGAGGAGAGAGTAATGTGGGAGAACTTAGGAAGGTTAAAGACCAGTCGAGCTGCTGCATTCTGGATGAGCTGCAGAGGTCGAATGGTGGTAGCAGGAGACCTGCAGGAGGTAGTTGCAGTAGTCCAGGCGGGAGATGACAAGAGCCTGAATCAGTACCTGCGCTTTTTTCCGAGTGAGAAGGACGTGTTCTCCTGATGTTGTAGAGCGTGTATCTACAGGATCGTGTTGTCGCAGTGATGTTGGGAGTCAAGGAGAGTTGGCTGTCGAGTGTCACGCCGAGGTTCCTAGCAGTCAAAGTGGACGTTAGCACGGAGTTGCCGAAGTTGACAGTCAAGTCCTGGATCGGAGAATCTTTTCCGGGAAAGATAAGTAGTTCAGTCTTGTTGGGTTGATTTTCAGATGGTTGGGCGGACATCCACTGAGAGATGTCAGTTAGACAGGCAGAGATCCGAGCCGCCACCTGGGTGTCCGAGTGAGGGAAGGAGAGAATTAGTTGGGCGTCATCAGCATAGCTGTGGTAGGAGAAGCCATGCGAGCGAATGACAGCGCAGAGAGAGTTGGTGTAGAGCGAGAAGAGGAGGGGACCCAGTACGGAACCTGAGGAACTCCAGTAGTAAGAGGACAAGGTTCCGACACAGATCCTCGCCAGGTTACCCGGTAGGTGCGGCCGTCGAGGTAGGACGAGAGAAGGGAGAGAGCAGAGCCTGTGACACCAATTTCCTGAAGGGAGGAAATAAGGATCTGGTGCTTGACTGTCAAATGCAGCAGAGAGGTCCAGAAGGATGAGGACAGAGGAGAGAGAGGCGGCTCTAGCAGTGTGGAGTTGCTCTGAGACAGCAAGGACAGCAGTCTCTGTGGAATGGCCTGCCTTGGAGCCTGACTGGTGGTTGTTACAGTGGAGATAGGAGAGTTGATTAAAGATAGCACTTTCAAGGGTTTTGGACAAAAAGGGAAGAAGAGAGACCGTCGGTAGTTGTTTTCCTCAGAAGGGTTGAGGGTGGGTTTCTTCAGGAGGGGGTTGACTCCTGCCTCCTTCAGAGAATTGGGAAAACAGCCAGATAACAGATCATTGTTGATGAGACAGGTGAGGAAAGGAAGAAGGTCAGGAGCGATAGATTGTAGAAGATGTGATGGAATGGGGTCAAGAGGGCAGGTGGTCGGACGGGCAGAGGTTACTAGGGTAAGAATTTGGTTAGGAGACGGGGGTGAAAGAGGAAAGTGAGGGCGATAGAGGTGAAGCCAGTGGGATGCAATAAGTAGGAGGTGGGTTTGAGAAAGAGGAGTGTATGTCAGCTATTTTCTTGGTAAAGTAGTTGACGAAGTCTTCCGGAAGAAGGGGGGAGGAGGGCTAGGGGGTTCGAGGAGGTTGGAGAAGATCAAAAAGAGTTTTTTGGGGTTAGAAAATGAAGATTCAATTCTGGATTGGTAAACTTTTGGCAGCAGAGATAGAAGCAGAAAAAGAGGAGAGAAGAGATTGAAATTCGAGCAGGTCCTCAAGTCGTTTATATTTACGCCATCTCCTTTCCGACGCTCGCATGGTGGCTCTCATGGCACCGGTTGAGACAGCCACGGAGCCGGAGGGGATTTGCCAGTCCGTCGTGTCGTAAGAGGGCAGAGAGAGTCTAGAGATGAGGAAAGAGTTGAGAGGAGAGTCTCAGCAGCAGCGTTCGGATGCAAGAGTGAGAAGGAGTCAGTTGAAGGGAGAGCTGATAGAACAGAGGATGCCAGCGAGGAGGGAGAGAGGGAGCGAATATTGCGACGAGCCGGTATAGAGTTAGTCAATGAGGGAGGTTTGTTAGTTATAGAGTGTGGAAGGGAGTAAGAGATGAAGAAGTGATCAGACACATGAAGTGGAGTTACAGAGAGGTTAGTGGTAGAGCAGTTTCTAGTAAAGATGTAGTCAAGGTGATTGCCAGCTTTGTGAGTAGGAGGAGAGGGACTGAGTGACAGAGCGAAGGAAGAAAGTAGGTGTAAGAGGTCAGATGACTTCTCTGTCTGGATGTTGAAGTCACCCAGGAGGATGAGCGGAGGGCTATTTTCAGGGAAATTAGACAGGAGAATGTCCAGTTCTTCCAATAAATGACCCAAGGAGCCTGGCGAACGGTAAAGGACAACAATATTTAATTGTACCGGATGAGTAACTGTTACAGCATGGAATTCGAAAGGCAGTAGGGTGGAGAGAAAAGCTCCATTTGGGTGAAATGAGTAGACCTGTGCCACCACCTCTACCAGTGGGCCTGGGTGTGTGGCTGAAGGAGAAGGCGGAGGAGAGAGCGGCTGGGGTGGATGTGTTCTCAGGTGTGATCCAGGTCTCAGTGAGAGCGAGGAAGTCGAGTGACTGCTGGATAGCGAAGCCGGAGATGAAGTCAGCCTTGCGAGGAGCTGACTGGCAGTTCCAGAGACCTCCTGTGACGAGGTGCTGGACGTGTGTGGAGTGGGTGGGATCGGTGAGAGAGGAGAGGTTACGATAGAGAGCAGATCTAGCCCGAGGCCTGTAGTATCTGCGGGAAGAGATTCAAACAGGTACGGGTAAAGGGGTCAAACACATTACTAAAAATAGCAGAAGGCGCCGCATTCAGCCGCACGAAAGACTCCTTTGTCTTTGTTTTGCTCGTCTTGACTCCCACGAAAGACTCATTTGTCTTTGTTCTGCTCGTCTTGACTTGACTTGAGCCATGAACTTCCTAAATACAGACAGTTTATTAAATGCCCCACCAGAGAGGAGAACACGCTGGATCACTGTTACACCACAGTAAGCAGGGCTCATCACGCCGTCCCTCGTGCTGCACCGGGACACTCTGACCACGTCATGGTCCATCTGATTCCTGCATACAGGCAGAAACTAAAGCTCTGCAAACCTGTGGTGAGGGAATTCAAGAAGTGCACCAGTGAGGCGCTGGAGGATCTTCGGGCGTGCTTTGACTGCACAGACTGGGATGTTTTCAGGACTGCTACTGACAGTCTGGATGAGTTCACAGAGGCTTCTGTGAGGACAGCTGTGTTCCATCATGCACCAGGGTGAGTTTCAACAATGACAAACCTGGTTCACAGCGGTTCTCATCAAGTGACTCTGCTTCGGTTTGGAGAGGCTTTAAACACCTCACAAACTAAAAGCCAAACCCTCCACTGCATGAATGACCTCCCCTGGCAGACGAGAATGAGTTCTACTGCAGATTTGATAGACAATGTCCTGACTCCATCCAGCAGCTTCACCAACCTGCCTGACAGGAAGCAGCACGTGAAGCTGGGGAAACATGTCTCAGCCTCTCAGACCATCATCACCCCCCAAGCAGAGGTGTCAAAAGTATTCACATTCATTACTCAAGTAGAAGTATAGATACTAGGGTTTAAAAAGACTTCTGCAGTTGAAGTATCAACAAGCTTCTTACTTAAGTAAAAGTATAAAAGTACTGGATTCAAAATATAGTATAAGTAATGTAAGCGTGAAAAAAATTACATTAAGCACAAACTCTTAATGTGTGACCTCGCTCACAGAACATGTCAGTCCGTTACAATATAATCGGAAGGTGCCTTCAGATCACATGACCTGCTGTTCAGATGATGGGAACATGCCGATATTCAGAGAGGCAACACTGAACAACAGAGGGACAAATGTATCGACCCACATGCTACAGAACTTTGTGTTCACTCAGAGTGGCATCCTCAAAGGGGGTCATTTTAGAAATGTGTTTCCAAAGAATGCAAAGCGAGTACGCATGTGTGTCTCACCATCATTAATAATAGCCGTCAGCAAGCCTTTGTTTTTGCTGCCGTGTTGGTCATAGGACAGACATTGCTGGTCTCTGAAGCCTGTTGCCCCATTGGGACAGGGAGGACGCTCACAGGCCTTGTGCTCCACATTGGCCTTCTGACAGTGTCGTCCACCAGGACCAGGCCTACACACACACACACACACACACACACACACACAGTATGAACACTAGGAGTGGACAATTTGACCTTAAATATAATTAAGTCGTTTTTTATTTGTTCTGCATTGTTGGTATTGTGTCACACTAATACGAAGCTAAAACTGACTGACAAGCTACGGCTTTCACAATGGACCCACTCGGCAAAGCCATTTTGATTACACTAGAAGGCAATTTTCTTGTGCTATTCAAGGAATTCTGCTCCTCTGCTGCTTTTTGTGGAGATAATGTACTTATGTTCTTCTACTTGTGTAGGTGCACATTTGTGCACAATTTGACACATTTGTGTGTCCAAACTTTTACTGGTACTTGTGTGAAATTGAGGACAGGCTTGCTGTGGCAGGGACGAATGCATTTGATTTGCCTAATGAAATGCAGTTGCAGTTGTGCTAAACAAGAATACCATTGAAAAGCAAAACAAATGAGTGGTAATTAGACTGTACTTGTGTAGCGCTTTTAGTCTTCTGATCACTAGTGCTTTAAAACTACTTTATCATGTTTCACCCATTCACCCCGGTTTGATGTTTTATTCCTTTAAAGTAATGTAATGTAAAGGGGGAATGTTGCTCATGTGGTTTATGCCACTGCCTCTGGAATGTAGCTCTAACTTCTTTTGGCCTATAAAAGCAGTTCAAGTGTTCAGGTCTTGTTCAGATCGCTCAGTCAGGCCTGAGAAGTAATGCTAGCATTCCACCAGACTGTTGCATGGAAAAGGAAGCTGACCAGGAAAGCAGGGCCCTTAATCGGCCGGTCAATTCACGTTCCAACCGTCGGCCATGAGCTTTGGTTGTTACCAAAAGAATGAGACTTCAGATAACAGTGAGTGAGAAGAGCTTCCTTTGCAGGGCAGCAGGGTCAGACTTAGAGATTTGCTGCTGCTCCTTCACCTTTAATGGGCCAGTTGAATAGTTCAACATCCATCAGGATCCTTCTCCACGCCCCTAAATAAAGGTTTATTTCAAGTATTGGTAAGAAGCCCCAGGTTATATCTCAGAACACACTGTATGCTAATATATTTTGCCTGGTCTGAGAAGGCCTCTGGTTCCCCTGAAGAGTTGACAAATGTTGATGGGAGAGGAATACAGTATAAAACTGCTGCCCCAAATACCGTGTCCCAAGTAGGTAGAAAGATAACGGATGGTTAGATATGGATGGCAATGTAGTAATTAGAACACAGAAAAAAACACAGACGAACGGACAGATATAAGTGACATACGGAGGGTTGTCACATTTCCTCTGTCTGAAATGGACTCCAGTACCACAGGTTCTGCTGCACACGCTCCACTGGCTCCATGGACTCCAGTCACCGTCCACATGCTGAGGGATGGGAGTCTTATTCACACACTTACCGGACCTGCACCACTGACACACACATAGATTCATATTATTTCAAATAGAGGCTCATCATAGTCTGCATCTCGGCAAGTCAACAGGCACACTCCAAGAGAAGCTTTCAGTTGAGAGAAGTGAAGATCACAAAATCCTGCACAGAACCCATTCATTATTATGTGTACTCATTGAGACAAAAAGAAGATTAAAATCAATGTGTGGGTGAGACTGACTTTATCTGGCCCACACTCTGTTCCGTCCAGGGGAGGATCCAGTTTGGTCTTGCAGGCTGCATCTCCCTCCACTAAACACCACAATCCAGCGCACATCAGGTGCTGATACACACACACACACACACACACACACACACACAATGCTTTGTATTGAGGGCTCTCACTCTGACGTTATGATAATGTTTTTATTTATTACTATTATGGAGGCAACTATAAAGATAAGACAATACGTCATGGGTCAAATGTTTGTGGCATTTGAGTACTGGAACATTGTCCCTATGGGGACCACAAAGGTTCCCCAGAGGTACCTGTGCCTCAATGCCGCATCCTTCAGGACGCATTCATCGGCCGTGTACGTCACTTCGGCTGCGATGCAGTGTTTTTAAATACACATAAGACGAGAACCAACTGGTCTTAATTATAACGTTTATAAGATTGTTCGTAAATTTCTGAGATATTATCATGATGTTTCTGGGTGTTTAATGTATTTTCTTTTATATTTATTAAGAGTAATTCCACTCATTTTAAAAATCATAGAGCTCCAGTTTCCAGGGTGGCTTGAATCAACAGATAATACGTTATGTAAATGTGATGCTAATAGGATAAATAAAATTAGTTGCAACCTCCATATTACTGCAAAAGCTGGCATTGGTTCCAAACAGTATCTGGCACTGTTGATCCACACTGTAATGCATGCCTGGTAGCTTTGGAGGAAGGCGGATCTGGTAACGGCTCCTGGAGTCTGTTTGCTGTAAGCAGGCACTGGCTTTGGACCTGTTTTAAAAACACAAAGCAGAAGGTTTTATAAGGTGCAGTAAACCGTATCATTTCCAATAGTTCTCTTTACATTGCCAAAACATATGCAGGCCTGCTCGCACACCAATACACGCCCATGTTACCAAAGGTGGACTGTTATGCTACTCTGACCCAGTGTGGGCTATGGAACATAAAATGTACTTGTATGGTATTTTAAGTGGTATAGTACTGCTGATGTGCCATTTAAAAACAATATTTTGCAAAGAGGGGACTTCCATCTGTGAGTGACGTCCACTCATCAAAGAGGAGACTTGATTATATATTGGAACGCTTCTGCATGATTCTTTTAGTTTTTTTTCTTCAAAAACGGATAGTTAAACATGTGTTATCGACATTTAGACATTTCTTAGTGTTACCAATATTATAAAAATAAGTGGCAACTTTAAATGGAAATAACTTTTCTTTTCCTCTTCTATTTTAATTATTGGTCGTTGTCAGTGACAATGGATAAGTACTATGTTTGTGTCAGGGTTGGGTAGGAAGGCAGGACTCAAACGCAGACTTTAACGAAAAAAGACTTTAATAGTCAAAAAACTCCACAAAGTAAAAGGCCAACGGGCAAAAACACACACGAACCGGGGACAAAAAGGCAGGCAGTAACGAGGGAACATCCAGACGGTAGACAGGGACATCCGTGACAAAGGACAACGACGCCACACGGCTTAAATACACAAGGGAGGTGCAGGTGAATCAGACGATCACAGGGGATGACGGGACCAGGCAGGAAGCAGTCGGTGGCGGCTCGGGGACAAAGGAAGCCGGAGTTGCCAGCTGGAGGGAGCGGGAAGCCCCCGGAGTCGCTGTCGCAACCCCTGCCAGGACCCCCACCCCCTGAAGGGCCGGATCCCAGACGGCCCTCAAATCACCAACGGGAGGGTGGGAGAGGACCATGGGATGGGAGGGAGGGAACCTGAGTCGGGGGGCGGGGACCGGAGGCGTCGGAGTCATGAGTCTCGGGGCCGGGACTGGAGGGGACGGGGCCTGGAGTCTCGGGGCCGGGACTGGAGGGGTTAGGGTCATGAGTCTCGGGGGCCGGGACTGGAGGGGTCAGGACCTGGAGTCTCGGGCGCGGGACTGTAGGGGTTAAGGGTCATGAGTCTCGGGGCCGGGACTGGAGGGGTCAGGGCCTGGAGTCTCGGGGCCGGGACTGGAGGGGTTAGGGTCATGAGTCTCGGGGCCGGGACTGGAGGGGTCGGGGCCTGGAGTCTCGGGGCCGGGACTGGAGGGGTTGGGGTCATGAGTCTCGGGGCCGGTACTTGCCGAGTCACACAGTCCACAGGACACAGGTGGAAACATTCCGACGATCAAAGGGGATGAGAGGACCAGGCAGGAAGTGAAGTTACACGGGGACACGAGTGGCAGAGAACTACAAAATACGACAGGAAGTGCACCACACCGTGACAGTTTGTGCATACAGACAAGCAGTTACCACAGGTCTTGCAGCCTGCAATAGTAGCTGGCTTATTTCGGGATTCCTGCAAAGTGGAGATTCAACAAAGGTTCTCTGGCAATTTATTTTTTTTATGATCATTTCTGACGATCAGCAGCCGCTTGCAAAAGTCTGGATGGCGTTATGCCAGGCCATTTTGTCTAGTTCTAAGCCTTGATTATTTTGACACAAGGTTTTTTTTTGCGTGTATGTGTTTGTTACATATCTGAGAAACTAAATGCAGGTTTTAAAACCGACTGCTTGTGCAGGCAGCTTGGAAAATCAGTGCTGAGTGACTCAAAGCGGGCAGAGTCCAGGAGAAATGATGGACTGAATACTTCAATGTGGAAAAAGAAACTTTTAGAAAAAACAGATTAAGCCAAAAGGTGACATTGCGTTGTTTAATGTACAATATAGGGTTTAAAATACAAGGTTTTAAATCCTGGCAGGACTAGCTAGAGCTCAATTGTCCCATTGCACAAAAAGTGGGAGAGTTGTCTCTATATATAGATATATGCTTTACACAACCGTTGACATTACATGTCATTTAGCGGACGCTTTTATCCAAAGCGACTTACAATGAGTGCATTCAACCATACGGATACAAACTCAGAACAAGAACAAGAAACAAGAAAGTGTTACATCTGTACATGATTTATAATTGTCAGAGACTGTCGAGTCCAAATGTGAAACAGAACAGGAAAAATCAAGCTTTTCTTCCCCTTATTTAATTTTTTTGAATTTCAGCTTTATTTAAACTTTATTGCGAGAACATTATTTATATTTTCAGTCATACATATATGTTCAGTTCTTTGGTACATGACAAGAAATATTGTCAAAGAGTTTTTGAATTGTATGGACTTTCTTTTTTTTTGTATTGTGTATTAATTACATGCAGATGTTGATACAACTACAGAGTTGCTTGATTGTAAACTGTTCGGTCCTTAAATATAAGTTTATTAAATATACAAAAAACAATTTCTCTGTATTTCCCTTTATTCTGTGAATTTTCCACAAAAGGTTTTTTTTTCTTGGTGTAGTACACCAAGAAAAAAAAAAAGAGATCTTACAAGGCCGTATTACAATTCTATTTTGTCTGTTGGAAAAACTGCAATAATGTCATAATCAGAAGGGTGTTTAGACCAGTTATTCTTTCTTTTTACCATTGGGCCAGTGCCAGTTCAAGGGCGGCTAAAAACCTTCAGGTTTGCACCAATGGGCCGTATGGGCTTGGGGTTGTTGTGGCGCCCCCTAGAGAGGGTGCGCCTTGTTATGTGTTTGCTGTTGTAGTTTTTATTGACATTGATAGACTGTCCTCTGCTTTAAGATTGCAATATTACTTTTAGCTGAAAGTACTATCTGGCCTATCTGATTTAATTTAATTTAAAATAACCGGGAAAGGTTCTTCTCTCTGCCTGAAATATATGACATCCCCGAGGAGAAGTGTATTTCCCTACGTTAAATGAAATGATAAGATTATCTTCTCTATCTGTATTGCATACGTTTAGGGTTTTAAGGCTTTTACTGTCAAGCGCAGCAGTTTGCTACGCAACGGGGGCAATGGAGGTAAAGCTGATGACGCAGGCAGGAGGTCCCCCCGTAGGCCAGACTGTCCCATTTCAGAGGCCGCTCGGATCAGCCTGTGCTGTTGTTGGAGGACCAGACCAGATCTACGAAGGATGCTGAAGGCTGCAGGCTCCCGAGGAGTTGGTTCTGCCAGCTGCTGTGGATATGTGCCGTGAGATAATTGGAGAGGCTGCTGCTAAAAATCTGCTGTACGTCCCACAGTAAAAGGACACTGTGATATACCGGACACGGCCTCTGACATCCATCAGCAGAGTCTGAAAAGAATAAAAGGTAGCCCATTTTTCTCATTCCAACTAGACAAGTCCACTGAAGTCACTAATGCTGCACTGCTGCTGGCTTTTGTTGGATCAACGGGAGAATAGTTTGCACAAAGACTGCTGAATTCTGTTTTTTGGAAGGCTACCAACACGTATTACGGCTCAGGAATGTTTCCACTGCATGTAAAATGACTTGACCGGAAACAGCCTGGACTGGCAGAACTGCGCGTGCCTGTGGTGGTTGTGTAATGTCGGTAATGGTGAAGCGTCAATGACTGGCAGGCATTAAGGTGTCTTCAAGCAGATTTATCGTGCACAAGAAGCTAAATGGACCAACTGTTTCCTCGGCCGTGAAAGCCTTGCAGCAAAATAAATATCACTGTTATATCACAGTTACATCCATCACGAGGCGATGGATGTAACTGTGAAAACCATGTTTTATGTTTTGCAAAGTTTTGAGGAAATAGAAGCAAATCATGTCCAGCTGCTCTATCACAGTGAGGTGAGGAGGCTCTCAAGAGGACTGATCCTGAAGAATATTGACTGTTTTGATTGCTCTTTGTACTTGGAAAGTTGGGCCCGAGGTCAAAAAGGTTAAGAACCCCTGTCATAGATGGCTTTTACTGTGGGTGTGTCAGTACCTCTGGCTATCTGTGAATCAGCAGTTCTGTTCATGGTGGCTCCGACGCCGTCGGCACATCTTTTTCTGTGACCAGCTTCCAACAAAGTCCAGTTTACAGCGGTAAATCCCATCTGGAAATGAATGGTGCTCAAGAGATAGAATTTCTTCTTTCCTCTATATTGCATAGTTGGCCCATCACTGACGAAGAAAAGCTTTTGGATCCTTGGATTGTTCTCCTTCAGGAACCGAAGAACTGGTTCAAGATGAGCCCAAATGGCAAGAGGATCATGCTTCATGGAAGGTGGCAAGGCACCGAATGTAATCTGTGGTGCACACCACAGCAGTCTGATTGTGGGATGCTCCAAAATGGACTTGCTTCACCTACTTAGCTACCAGTTTTTTGCATAGTCAATGTAAAGAATAGCCTTGTCTGCTTTCAGGGATCAGTGCAGGAGTTGTAGCTGTGTGTACTGTGATGGATGTTGAAGAGGTGCTTGTACACTTTGACTTTCACTTCCCTCTCAAGATCTTCCAAAAGGTGCTCTCGGCTGCCCTCACATCTCTGTGGATCGCCCATCCCACACAGTAGTGTGCAGCACTAAGGGCTGCCCGGGGAGCAGTCACAGGGTTGGGTGTCTTGCTCAGGGACTGTTCGACATGGGACAGCAAAGTTTCGACCCGCCAACCTTGCAGTTCCTGGTGCACCCTCCCTGCGCCATGGGAGTTGTCATGCAGTTTGCAAACACAAACTGTTGATGTTTGGGACAACCAAAAAGGTTTTGTCCCGCAGGAAAGCGAAAAGGACAACTTGAGAGGAGGCGTCTCCAACATTAACTAGTTTGATTCTCCCCCACTGACATAAGAACATTTTGACTATGTCCGTGGTCTTTTTATTACCAGTTCTCTGATACAGTAGGTGAACCTCGGCTGTGGCTTGTCTACGGTCTTTGCGGGCGCTACCTCCTGTTTTTCTGAGTTTGTATTTTCTGAGCACTATCTGAGACAGTTCTTCTGAATGCCATTGTCTCTTTATAGCTGACAGACTTGTATTATGTTTTCATTTGGTGCATGTGTAAGTGCTAGGTGGTGTGGAATCCCTGCAAAATGTCTCCATTTCGTTGTGTCTTTTCACCAACGCTCTGTGCTTATGCGGTCTTTTCTTTCACAATTTCATGACATTCCTTTTCCTTGGCTGAATCACTAGGAAAGAGCAGATACATTTCAGCTATTTCCTTCCTTAAATATTCTTGGTGTTTCACTGGGTCATCCCTTACTCTTTGTCTGTACTATCTCAATCGCTCTTCTCCACTTTTTCCTTTCCTTTTGAAATTTGGTGTCTAATGATGATAACATTTTTTTCACTGAACAGTTTTAGATAGAAATCAGCATTATCTACATGTTTACCATTTAGTCCCCTCAACACATTGGTATATTATATATAATAAAATAATTGAATAAACATTTTTGTTTGGCAGAGCCTAAGATCTTGGCACACCACAATTTCCTTTGGTTATTTACACAAACCACTGTCAGAAACAATGGAAAAGCGTTCACCAATGGTGATATACAGTCAATCTTAAACAAAAGGTTCATTTAGTTGTATCTCACCTGAGGAAGTTCTCCAGGTCAGTGCGGCTGCAGGAGGACCAGGACAGGTCACTGGGGTTTCTACCTTTAATCCATTCACCAGACATGATGTGGGAATGACTGGTGCAGGTGGCGTGATCGTCATCATGGCTCATACCCATGCTAAAACAAGGACATCAATACATAGACACTGCGTCAAAGGGTAGTGAAGCTGGCTCGTAAACAAAGGACTGCCTTTGTTTCTATTTTGTGCATCAATGTGTTTGTGAATGATTCTGCAACTAGGTCTGTGAATGAGTGTGGACCTCTTTGTGTGTCCACAGCTAATATCTTATTTTGCTGCAGCAATCTGCATCATAGTCAATCATGTGGCCCGCTCAAGAACCTTGTAGTTGTACTGACTCACACTTTCTTGTAACACCTTTCGTGACTTGTTTTAAACTGCCATTCACTGCGTCGTGACTCTTAACCACTCCTTGGCCAGTAGGGGCTGGTAGGCGTAATACACCTTAGCGCGTCTCCAGTACCCCTTCTGCTGCTCGCGGGGGGATAACAGTTTGCAGTATGTTTGGCTGACAGCTAAAAGTATGGATAGTGTGTTTGTCTAACTTCCACTTTTCACACACATTCAGACACTGATGACAAGGTATAACCTTCAGACCATTCATACCTATTAACGTTCCAGGAGAAAAATAGATAATTTTTAGTTCTGGGGAATGATTGCAATTTTGAATCACGATCAATTGCATGAATTTCTGCGATTAATTGCGCAAAATTTCAAAATGAATTCTGATTTTTTTTTGTGCAAACAAATAAGGTTCTCTACATTACATTACAGGTCATTTAGCTGATACTTTTATCCAAAGCGACTAACATTGCATTTTTAACCCATGGCTTTTTACATTTTTGCCCAGGGAGCAATTAGGGTTTAGGTGTCATGCTCAGGGACACTTGAACATGGGACATGGAGTAGCCAGGGCTCGAACACCCAAACTTTCGGTTCCCGGTGCACCCTCCCTACCCCTGCGCTACGTCGACCCCTCCAAACCACAGTATTCCCTTCAATTTTTTTGGAAAATCTGCAGTGAGGCTGGCGACCAGTCCAGGGTGAACCCCGTCTCTCGCCCGAAGTTGGCTGGGATAGACTCCAGCCCCCCTGAGACCCTGTATGACGGATAAGCAGTTTGAAGATGAATGGATGGAAATCCCCCCCAAAAAACAAAGCAATTTGCCACCGCCAGGGCATTAACATTATATCTAGTTAAAACCTTTAAGGTTCATCACATAATGTGGTGTAGAGGCCGAACATGGTTTGTCACAATCTGTTTGTGTGCAGTTTGTTCCCTTGTTACTATGTCACCTTTTTTTTTTTACCTTTTATGAGTTAATCAATTTACGGGGCGTGGCCTAAGACTGTTGCAGTAGCTGACATGAACCAAAACAGAGTCTTCTTGTTAGCTGTAACTTGACTGTGATTCTCCAAAGGAAATCCAGTAGAAACATGGACTTTAGGGAGTAAGAAGTTCCGTCAGAAGTAAATCCCAGCTCTGTCCTTTAATAAAGCAGGTGTATTAATGTTGCCCGTTTTAATGTTATGATCACTGAGTGTAACCTTTTCAGTCTTTTGATTGTTCTGACAAAACTTCGGTGTTAGTATGTTCAGTCATAGCCTAAATTTGCATACGACATTTTCTGACTGTGAAATAGTTGTTGGAGTTGTGTTTGGAGCATGTTCAAACGGACTTTGCCGACGACTGAGTCCGTATTAAGAAGCTTTGAGATTATAGATTGCGCCCAAACATGTATGGCAGTATTGACAATAGTCCTGTGTCGGCACTAACTAACGGGGTCGTCATGGCGCTGGGGTAGAGAGGGTACGCTGGGAGCCGCGAGGTAGGTGGTTTGAGCTGGCTTCCCCATGTCCCATGTCATAGTGTCCCTGAGCAAGACACCTAACCCTAATTGCTCCCCAGGCAAAAAAATAAATGTAAAAAACCATGGGTTAAAAATGCAATATAAGTTGCTTTGGATAAAAGTGTCAGCTAAATGACATGTAATGTAACTTAAATTTGTGAAAGTTTGAGGGGAAATGAAGACGTCATTCTCTAGATCGTCTTTGACAAAAAATGTTACTCAACCTATTTTTCTGACAGTGAATTGCTTTGCAACACGCGCAAACCCTTTTAGAACCATGAATTGAAACGAGTTCATCGACACAACTGCGCGAAAAGCCGCAGCCGCAGTTGCAGAAGCATGCCAGAGCCTTAAGGGGAAGTATTTGGACTTTTGGGGACTGCTTCATTGACTCTATTCAAATGCGAGTTTGTTAACGCAGTGGTAACCTAAGAGCGGGGCAGGGCCATGTGGCATTTGCTATCTGTCCCTATCTATCCCTCCCTGTGTGAGACGCGGCAGAAATTTGTAAGCCCCCCCCAGCCAAATCCTTTGCACTACTGTGTGTCAGGAGTAATTTGATTGTGCCAAAGCTCTGCTTTGCCGCACTCCTGTCTTGAATGCGCCTCATTTGGGGAGTCCCTTTAAAAGGAGGTAGATGCCAGGACCTCCACTCATCCTCCTGGGTGACTTCAACATCCAGACAGAGAAGTCATCTGACCTCTTACACCTACTTTCTTCTTTCGCTCTGTCACTCAGTCCCTCTCCTCCTACTCACAAAGCTGGCAATCATCTTGACTACATCTTCACTAGAAACTGCTCTACCACTAACCTCTCTGTAACTCCACTTCATGTGTCTGATCACTTCGTCATTTCCTACTCTAATCCGCTCTCTATAACTAACAACTAGTAACTAACAACTCTCAACTAACTCTGTAACGGTTCGTCGCAATATTCGCTCCCTCTCTCCCTCCTCTGTTCTATCAGCTCTCCCTTCCACTGCCTCCTTCTCACTCTTGCATCCGAACGCTGCTGCTTATTTGATGAAATTGTTTCTTCGCTTTGGATAAAAGCGTCAGCTAAATTGATTTGGCATTTAGGCAATGTTCTTTTACAGGAAGACGGTCATGGTATTGATCATCCCTCGTGTTACTTCTCTATGAAGTTTATCAAGTAAGATACAGCAATAAGTATGTCGGTTCCGGACCAACCCTGGTTCTCGTGTATTCAGATTATGTTCTTGTCCAGTATGCAAAACAATCAGCGTCTTAAGCGCTGGACACTACTGCAAACTTTAACATAAAAGATTTTCAATATTGTAGCGTTGTCCTGGGTAGTGTTGAGCGAATTACTTTGAGTGTAACATAAATTCTGTCTGCAGTTGCCGCTGTTTAGACAGGGTCCGAACCGGCTGGATTCAATGTCGAACCTAGAGAGGCTCTTTCTCCTTGATACTCAGCAGCACAGCAGGGCCTGTTGGAAGCTGAGAGGTGGCACATTGAGCCTAATCATCATATTGGTCCTTCTTTAGGCCAGAGGTCTTCAACAGGGGGTCCGCGGAGGTACTGCAGGGGGGTCGCAAACATTTTTTAATGAGTCCATTTTAAAAATCTTTTTTATTTATTATTATTTTTTCGTCCAGAATTGTATTTATTGTCTTTAAATACACATGTGAATGTATAAATTGATAGAGAAGACGTTATTTTTCAATCCTCAATGCACAGATTCAACTTCTCACAGCAGCTCTCTCAAGCTGGGGACCAGTTTATTCACAGCAAGTTTCATACTGATACGACAGCACAGGCACCAGCAAATCAGATCGCGTTTATGCTCACGTCTAAAGAGCACAAAGCTCAAAAATAAAAGATGGCGGACCAAATTCCGTAGAATAGGGGGTCCCTGCTCCATCTCGGCATCAGTTTGTTGAAGACCCCTGCTATAGACCAAAGAGTTTGGGCAGAACACGGATAGAAGCCCTGTTAGGTTTTGGATGTTTTCGGTTAGGGAGACGAATGTCATCTTAAAAAAGCCGGGAATTTTCTAATCTTCTATCTGCAGGTTTAAGTGACAGAGCATGGGGCAAATAAATGATCTTGTTTGACCAGCAAAAATACTATAGCAAATATGCTCATGGCTGGGGTGGGGTCTTTGACTTGGACTTGGCCTCACCGCTTACTGAGGCTGTGGACTAAACTCACCGTTTCATCTCTCCCCACAGAGAGGAATTTAGGTCCCCTTCTCCAGGCACATTTGTTAACTTACAAAGCACAACGTTCTTCATTGATCTAGCCCGTTAATTTTGTTTTCAAGATGCATTAGGACTTCCACAAGACATGTGCCCATAACCTCAAAGGCCCTTGTCAGGCCATAGGCAGGCCTTGTTGTCACAGCAAACATCAGAGTACAGGTGCACTGACGGTTTGTAGACAAAACTAGGAGAAAAACAGTCCAGCAGTCAAACACTCAATGAAAACTTAAGATGGGCTGACCCTTAAGGTGGACCAATACCATAGGGGTTGTCGTGGCGCAGGGGTTAGAGATGGTGTGCTGGGAAGCACAAGGTTGGTGGTTCGATTCCAGGCTGCCCCATGTCGAAGTGTCCCTGAGCAAGACACCTAACCCCTAATTGCTCCCCAGGCAAAATGTGAAAAAAGCCATGGCTTTAAAGTGTAATGTAAGTCGCTTTGGATAAATGACCTGTGATGTAATGTCCCACGTCTAGGTTTTCTTGGTTGGACTTGTAAACCATGAACCCACTTGGAGCATTCTCACAACCGTAAACATGGACAATAGACGAGCAGTATGATATTATATTGCACAGTCAAAATACACTTGAAATATACAGTAGGTTTTACTGTTTATTTTACCTACTTGTGTCCCAACTCGTGAGCAATGGTGAAAGCCAAATTGAGTCCATTGTCTTCTGCTAACGCACACTTCCTCTTGGCACTGCAGACACCCCCTAAATAAGCAATACCTGGAACACAGTGACATGATACTGAGTTTGATAAATAACAGCTACATGAACGGAAAACTTTAATTGAAGTGAGGAATATGTATTTTTTGACAAAATCCACTCTTTTCCACACTTAATTTAGCTGAAATAAGAAGAAAATTATCTTCTCTATATGTACTTTATAAGTTCTTCCGCTTTTGAGGCTTTTAGCACAGGCAATGAGAACAGGTGGAGGTAGAGCTCATGACGCAAGCAGGAAGTACCCCCGTAGGCCAGACGTCTCATTTCACCATATGCAGTCCTTGGGTGGACCCAGCCCAGGTCTACAGCGAAGGCTGGGTCCTACAAGGATGCAGCCCACTGAATTGAGACATAGGTATTGACTGCAAGCAGGTGGCACGCTCACACTGCTTGATTGCAGAGGAGACAGGGCCTCACGTGCACAAGCTCTTGCCAACCGTCCTCGGCTTTTTGGAAAAAAAGATGCCAAAAGTAAAATCCAAGTACTTTGGCTGCATTACATAGCCGTGTATAATCAATGGTGTGATGGCACCATGTTGTTTTCATTAATATCTTGCTGTAGGCTATTTAATTAATAATTTGTGGTATTGTAACAATCTCTTTGTGAAACCAAGCATCCAGGCAACTCAGTTCTCACTGAGGGGGGGGGGGGGGGGGGTACAGTGGACGTTGTGGGGGATGAGTCTGGGAGAAGATGACACCATCACAAAAGGATGGTTAAAAAAGGAGAACAAGAAGAGGAAGTAGGTACCCTGAAACCACCCGGACATACAGAGGACGTCTTCGCTGTGTTGCCTTTCCCACTTTTGGGGATTTGTATATTGCTGCCGCTCAGGGCAAACACAGCTCGGTGTCAAATCCCCTTGTTGAGTTCAAGCACCAAATAAATTCTGTGTAACTCAAGAACGCATCCGGGATAATAAATGTTAACTACTGGTCATATATTGAACTATATTTGGCAGAAAACTATTTACTGAAATATATTTATTTTTTAGACCTACAGATCTGTAAAGCATTTAAAAATGAATTGGATTTCAATTGGATATCCTCCGGCACGTTAAGGTTGTCAACTATTTGCTACAGTAAAGTTTGTCGGCTGGAGTTAGTTAGTGAGTGAGTCACATGGGGGTACTCACCCACAGTATCACAGGGTTCATCTTTATGAACGCAGAAATCTGTCCTGGAAGAGAAAGTTAAACAAAACTGATGTACTGGTGTTATGCATTTTTTCATGAATAATAAAGACACTAGAAACGTAAACTATCCAATTAGAGAGAGGGAGAGAGGGAGAGAGTAAGAGCGAGAGAGAGTAAGAGACAAAAACAGAGAAAGAGCGAGAGTGCTCTCCCAAGTCAGCTGCACAAAGAAGATCTTTGGATACCTTGAGGAGGGGCTGTTTCTAAGTCAAGCTTGTATATTTGAGTTGAAATCACTTTCAAACTTTCACTTTTGATAATAACACATGTTATAAATTGGCCTCAAATCACCAGGGCCCGGTTTTTCAAAAGGTTTAATCCGGATAAAATTGATCCGGATTTAGTAATCCTTTTTTTCCGATCCGTGATCACGTAATCCAGTTTACTTTTGAGCCAGTTTTTCAAAGCAACATCGGATTAAATCAATCTGATCCGGATAGGAACTTTTCAAGAAAAAACCCACTCCATCCTCTTCCAGCAGTCCGCTCATCTGAGACCTACAACACAAACACTGTACATTGAGGATATTTATAACAAGTTTTAAGTATAGATGTATTGAATTAAAAAAAAGACTTAATGTCAAATACTCCACAACAATTTCAGACTTCCTCATCTGATGTGGAAGAGACCAGAGACCTGGAGAGACCAGATCCTCATTGCTCTCAGATTTTATGCATGTGGGACTTTCTGTCAAAGTGTTGGTGACTATATGGGAGTGGTGAAATCAGCTGTGTGTGATGTGGTGAGAGATGTGTCAATCGTACTGGCCAGCCTGGTCAATGAATTTGTTTCTTTTCCGAAGGACAACCAGATTTCTTTTGGGGAATATGCCCAATACTATTGGAGCAATCGACTGCACACATGTGTGTATACAAGCACCTTGTTAGAATGAATGGGAGTTTATAAACAGAAAGGGGAGGCACAGCATCAATGTCCAACTTGTGTGTGATGCTGACCTCATCATCACCAACTGCGTTGTCAAGTGGCCTGGGTCTGTCCATGATGCACGCATCCTGAGGGAGAGCGCTCTATATAGAGACCTCCAAACCAACCGACCCGATGGCATTATATTAGGAGACAGCGCCTACCCACTCCTACCATGGCTGATGACTCCTTTTCTAACAGCAAATACACTGGCGCAGGCACGCTTCAACACTGCTCATTGCAGAGCAAGATGTGCAATTGAGCGTTTAAATGGAGTTCTTAGGAGGCGCTTTGCATGCCTTAACTACCTGAGAGCGGAGCCACAGAAAGCGTGCAACATAACCCTTGCCTGTATTGTCCTGCACAACATCGCTACCAAGCGCAACGCCCCTCTCTGTGCTGACAATGATGCACCTGAGCCCCTTGGAGACCCTAACCAACCTCCTGCATTCTGCCAGAACGAGCAAACCGGACGTGCAACAAGGGACGCAATAGTTAGACACTATTTCTGATTTGGATTTGTTTTGGATTTCAAAAATCAGTGATTGCCATTCTTTGCATTTTTTGGTTATTCTGTAATCATTGCATGCATCACTAATAAATATTCTAAAAACAAAACTATTTTCGATTGTGATGAATATATATATCAATAAGTGACAGAATAAAATGTATTGTTTTTGGTCAATTTTGACAGCTGTTTGGGATTATTTTACCCTTCTCGGCCCGGTTTTTCAAAAGTAATCCACTAGGATTTTGGATAACGGATTGGATCAAATCTTGAAAATGGATTTTTCAAAAGAAAAAACATATTACATAATCGGATTAGATCACGTAACCCAGTGTTGGTTTAGATCCGGATCAAACCTTTAGTTTGGGTTTTTCAGAACTTTTTTGTAGGATTTGGATCATTTTGATCCAAGAAATCTAGATTTAACTGATCCCATCAGAAGGGTGGATTCAGCGTGGATTTCATGCCCAAAATGTAATGAAAACTTTAAAAATGTATCAAATAATACTATATTTGGATAATGCAGTATCTTACAAGATAACCTATTTATTCATAAGGTTTTAATTTTATTTGTTCATCCGTCAGGCTACAGTGATTAGGTAGGCTTTAACATATTCAGCCTTTCAGTATAGGCCTACAGCAAAGTAGAAAGAGTTTGGCCTCATAGAATAATCCCCCAAACAGCTGTCAAAATTGACCAAAAACAATACATTGTTGCATGTGATGCATGCAATGATTACAGAATAACCAAAAAAATACAAAGAATGGCAATCACTGATTTTTGAAATCCAAAACAAATCCAAATCAGAAATAATGTCTAGTGTCCCTTGTTGCACGTCCTGTTTGCTTGTTCTGGCAGAGGAACAACTGACTCTGACCAAACTGCACCAAACCAAGGCCAGACTTGAGATCTGCCTCCTAAAGGCTACGCTCAGACAAGCTGGTCTCTCCACATCAGATGAGGAAGTCTGAAATTATTGTGGAGTATTTGAGATTAAGTCTTTTTTTTAATTCAATACATCTATATTTGAAACTTGTTAGAAATATCCTCAATGTACAGTGTTTGTGTTGTAGGTCTCAGATGAGCGGACTGGAAGAGGATGGAGTGGGGTTTTTCTTGTTTTTAGTTTTTTTTAAATGTGTGTGTTTTCATTTCAAATAAAAATAAACTTATATTGACCCCAGACTGGCTATTCTACTTGTTGCTCTTTACATATCTGTAGTTCTACATTGTGATTTCCTATCCTGTTTGAGCACTGGTTATCCAGATTTGGTGATCCTGAAAAGTTCCTATCTGCATCAGATTGATCCAATCCGATGTTGCTTTGAAAAACTGTCTCAAAAGTAAAATGGATTACGTGATCACGGATCGCAAAAAAAAGGATTACTAAATCCGGATATATTTTATCCGGATTAAACCTTTTGAAAAACCGGGCCCTGAAGTTTGTGGATGACACCACCCTCATTGGACTCATCTCTGGTGGGGATGAGCAGCTGAAGAAATTCAACCTGCCTACGACGACGATGGTGACCTTCTAAATGGCAATCATTACATTACATTACATGTCATTTAGCTGACGCCTTTATCCAAAGCGACGTACAATAAGTGCATTCAACCATAGGGTACAAACTCAGAAGAACAAGAAACAAAAAAGTGCAATATCCTCAAATAAGCCAATTTACAATTTGCTATAGATGAGTGACGTTACAAGTACAATTTAAGTGCTACAATTTGTTAGTCTTTAGTCGAGGTAGAGTCTGAAGAGGTGTGTCTTTAGTTTGCGGCGGAAGATGTGAAGGCTCTCTGTGGTCCTGATGTCTTCAGAGAGCTCGTTCCACCATTTAGGAGCAGGACAGCAAAGCGTGGTGATCTAGTCGAGTATTTTGCTCTCAGTGAGGAGAAACGAGCAGTTTTGCAGATGCAGAGCAGAGAGTGCGGGTTGGGATGTAGGGTTTGACCATGTCCTGGATGTAAGTTGGACCCGATCCATTCACAGCATGGTACGTGAGCACCAATGTTTTGAACTGGATGCGGGCGGCCACCGGTACCAGTGAAGAAAGCGGAGGAGTGGAGTAGTGAGGGAGAATTTCGGAAGGTTAAAGACTAGTCGAGCTGCTGCATTCTGGATGAGCTGCTGAGGTCGAATGGTGGTAGCAGGAGACCTGCAGGAGAGAGTTACAGTAGTCCAGGCGGGAGATGACAAGAGCCTGAATCAGTACCTGCGCTGCCTTCTGAGTGAGGAGGGGACGTGTTCTCCTGATGTTGTAGAGCGTGTATCTACAGGATCGTGTTGTCGCGGTGATGTTGGGAGTCAGGGAGAGTTGGCTGTCGATTGTGACGCCGAGGTTCCTAGTGGTTAAAGTGGGCGTTAACACCAAAGTGGCCGAAGTTGACAGTCACGTCCTGGGTCGGAGAGTCTTTTCCTGGAAAGAGAAGTAGTTCAGTCTTGTCGGGGTTGATTTTCAGGTGGTGGACGGACATCCACTGAGAGATGTCAGTCAGACAGGCAGAGATCCGAGTGAGGGAAGGAGAGAATTAGTTGTGTGTCATCTGCGTAGCTGTGGTAGGAGAAGCCATGCAAGCGAATGACAGCGCCGAGAGAGTTGGTGTAGAGCGAGAAGAGAAGGGGACCATGGACGGAACCCTGAGGAACTCCCGTAGTAAGAGGACAAGGTTCCGACACAGATCCTCGCCAGGTTACCCGGTAGGTGCGGCCGTCGAGGTAGGACGAGAGAAGGGAGAGAGCAGAGCCTGAGACACCAAGTTCCTGAAGGGAGGAAATAAGGATTTGGTGTACTGTGTCAAATGTAGCAGAGAGGTCCAGAAGGATGAGGACAGAGGAGAGAGAGGCGGCTCTAGCAGTGTGGAGTTGCTCTGAGACAGCAAGGACAGCAGTCTCTGTGGAATGGCCTGCCTTGGAGCCTGACTGGTGGGAGTCAAGGAGGTCGTTACCGTGGAGATAGGAGGAGCGACTGCGAGCGACTCTCTGATGTACTTATTCATAGCCTCTGTCTCAGGCCGTGACAGCGAATAGAGTAAACATCTGGGGGGAGAAGTGCCAGGTAATGCACCAATCATAGAGGCGATGGGGGGGGGGTAACAAAGACGCTCTGGATTTACTAAAAACATTCTTAAGATCTATGTACTCACGGGGGTGTGAAAACACCAGGTATGAAAACTCCTCTAAAGATCCAGAGGCTGGGGGCAACCGGGTCTGGGTTTGACGGAGACAGTTAGACAGGATGGGCTCCAGCCCACAATTCTCATGCCTGTCCAGTCGATATGGGGATGGCAGGGATGGCCAAGGGCCAGAGGGGCATTAGGGGAGTCGATAACATAAAAGCTTATTTCCTCGTGATGGTTACCGGAGAGGCAGAGACCCAGATAGACGGGTGCGATACACCTTCTTTTTATTCTATATCCCCCTAAACCATAGCCTTCTATTTTATACGGTATAGTTACATTTTAAGTTTGTAAATTGAACGTTTCTTGCTATTTATCTTGTTGTCCATTGTATCATTGTCTTACTGTCCAATGTTATGCAACAACCTCCAGGTCAAATTCCTTGTATGTCTAACATATTTCAACAATAAATGTTCCTGATGTGCTTCCAAAGATGCAGAGAGCATTTGAGCAGCATGGAGGCAGAGCCTCTGCACAGTTCTCTGCTGTAAGTCATGGCTCTGTTTGTTTTATTTCCAATGCAAAAAGCTCGCTCCATCTTCAACTATCATCTCTGTCTCTCCGATCTAACTGACAGCACGCAGCAGTTTCAGGGGTCAGGGGTCAACGCATACCGACAGTAAACAAAGTTGCGTAATTACGTTAAAATATTTGATTGCAATAATATTTAACTCGTTAACTTTTGACAGCCTTAATTTAAAGTTGAAGCTCAATGTTTCAGTGAATATTTGATTTTTGAAATCCCGAGATCCAAGATGTCATGACAAGTGAGTGATAAGAAGCTAATGCACGCCAATAAATGGTGGCTAGGAAAATAAAAAAGATTAATACAGTCAAGTATCGTGATATTTTGTAATGAAATATTGTATTAATGCTTGATAGCAAGTAGCTGTCTGTTTTGCGATATGAACTATGCACACCGCTTATCCTGCACACAGGGTTGCGGGGGGGGCTGGAGTCCATCCCAGCCAACTTCGGGCGATAGACAGGGATCACCCTAGACTGGTCGCCAGCCAATCGCAGGGCTACACAGAGACATACAACCATTCACACTCACATTCCCCAGAGAATGTCTTTGGACTGTGGGAGGAAGCCAGAGTACCGGAGAGAACCCACACAGACACGGGGACAACATGCAGACTCCACACAGAGAAAAGCCACTGGGCGGAGTCGAACCCAGGACCTTCTTGCTGTGAGGCAACAGTGCTGACCACCACACCACCGTGCCGCTCAACTATTGCACCATATGAAAGTAAAATCTCGGGATTACTATGAACTGGATTGCTAACACACCACAATTAAGAGATAGCATTATCCACTGATGTTAAAACAGCGCCAAAAAAGAATCAGCACTGGACACACTTGGCCTGATAGAGAAAGTGGTGGCTATATACCTGGTGACCAGCACAGCAGTGTCCACTGGTGGGATGTCTTCCCATCCACCGGGGAAATGGTCGGTACCAAGGTAGCGTAACCTCCCAAATTCTTGATGCTGCCAATGGCAGAAGCTCTCCAGATACCTCTCTCCATGATGGCCCACCTTTAGCTGTTCCTGAGGAACAGATACAGAGCAGATATCTTTGTTAATTGTGTCTCTTTTTGCTTTAACCCTCCTATTAACGACCCATACGGTTTCAACAGACACACGCTAATTAGTAAGATATTAGAAAAAATACATAATACATTTATAGACAAAGAAGCAATTGTATCTGTATCATTTTTGCTTTTCTATTAAAGTTGTGCAAAACCACAAGGCAGCTGCCTCAGTTTGGTACCGCCTCCAGCTCATCTGTTGGATTCCATAGCCACATGGGTACAACCTGCAAAAACACCCTATCATTTCATAGAAAATTAAGCAGAAAGAGTGAAAATTGTGGCAATGAGGGCGAACTAGACATATTTGTTTAACCAGATTCTGAAGGTGCTCTCCATTCTAGAGTTTCAGTTTCCACTCTAGCCTGGCCTATGCACACCCATACAAATCTCAGAAACGGTCTGAAACACTCATGAAACCAGTGAAATCAGTGATATTGAAAAAAGTTGAATAGATATAAAAGAGACAATTCTTTGCTGAAAAGTAGTTTAGGCTTTAGTCAATATTTTTACGTTTCAATGGTTGCTTTAGCTGAAACATTACAGGGACCACCACCAGCTTAGCGTTAAGCGCTTTTTGTTAAACTGCCTGTAAATTGGCATTGTCTTTAGCTAGCTCCTGTTAGCTTAGCAATTAGTCTTTCTCAAAACAGCCATAAGGAAAACAGGTATTTAAATCATGTTGGTGGTTTTATTTTGGTGGAGGGGGAAATACGCGGCCCAAGTTAAGTATACTTGTATATGTACTCAAGTTTAGATGTGTGTACAGTGCAGCCGGAAAAATAAAACATAACATGTACATAAGTATTCACAGCCTTTGCCATGACACTCAAAATTTAGCTCAGGTGCCTCCTGTTTCCACTGATCATCCTTGAGATGTTTCTACAACTTGATTGGAGTCCACCTGTGCTAAATTCAGTTGATTGGACATGATTGAGAAAGGCACACACCTGTCTGTATAAGGTATCACAGTTGACATATCAGAGCATAAACCAAGCCATGAAGTCCAAGGAATTATCTGTAGACCGCCGAGACAGAATTGTATCGAGGCACCGATCTGGCGAAGGGGACAGAAAGATTTCTGCAGCATTGGAAGTCCCAATGAGCACAGTGGCCTCCATCATCCGGAAATGGAAGAAGAAGTTTGGAACCACCAGGACTCTTCTTAGAGTTGGCCGCCCAGCCAGACTGAGCGATCGGGGGAGAAGGGCCTTAGTCAGGGAGGTGACCAGGAACCCGATGGTCACTCTGACAGAACTTTGGCGTTGTTCTATGAAGAGAGGAGAACCATCTCTGCAGCACTCCACAAATCCGGCCTGTTTGGTAGAGTGGCCAGACGGAAGCCACTCCTCAGTAAAAAGCACATGACAGCCCGCCTGGAGTTTGCAAAAAAGCACCTGAAGGACTCTCAGACCATGAGAAACCAAATTCTCTGGTCTAATGAAACAAAGATTGAACTCTTTGGCCTGAATGCCAAGCGTCATGTCTGGAGGAAACCAGGCACTGCTCATCACCTGGCCAATACCATCCCTACAGTGAAGCATGGTGGTGGCAGCATCATACTGTGGGGATGTTTTTCAGCGGGAGGAACTGGGAGACTAGTCAGGATTGAGGGAAAGATGAATGCAGCAATGTACAGAGACATCCTCGATGAAAACATGCTCCAACGCGCTCTGGACCTCAGACTGGGGCGACGGTTCATCTTCCAACAGGACAACGACCCGAAGCACACAGCCAAGATAACAAAGGAGTGGCTTCGGCACAACTCTGTGAATGTCTTTGACTGGCCCAGTCAGAGCCCTGACTTGAACCCGATTGAACATCTCTGGAGAGATCTGAAAATGGCTGTGCACCGACGCTCCCCATCCAACCTGATGGAACTTGAGAGGTTCTGCAAAGAAGAATGGGAGAAACTGCCCAGAAATAGGTGTGCCACGCTTGTGGAATCATACCCAACAAGACTTGAGGCTGTAATTGCTGCCAAAGCTGCTTCAACAAAGTATTGCGCAAAGGCTGTGAATCCTTATGTACGTTATTTTTTATTCTTTATTTTTAACAGATTTGCAAAAATTTGCAAAAAACAGCTTTCACTTTGTCATTATGGGTTGTTGTGTGTAGAATGTTGAGGATAATTCAATCAATTTTGGAATAAGGCTGTAACATAACAAAATGTGGAAAAAGTGAAGCGCTGTGAATACTTTGCGGATGCACCGTATAACAAATGATTTGTGCAAAACAGGCTAAATCCATTTTTTGTGACCTTCTGTGAGTTTTTTGTCAGGGTTCTGGATAAATCACTACCATAGCAAAGAGAGGGATAAATTGTCTATAGTAATTGGCCAGGCCCAAAAAGGATCTCACCTCCTTCTTCGTACTCTGTTTTGGCCAGTCTTGGATAGCCCAAAGTTTTGCTTCCTTGGGTTTGACCAGTCCCCGCCCGATGGTGTACCCAAAGTAATTTGTCTCACTGAAGGCCAACTTGCATTTCTTTGGGTTCGCTGTCAACCCGGCCTGTCGGAGGGATTCCAGGACCTTCTGCACCCAAGCTAGGTGACTTTCCCAGTCTGGTCTCTGAATCACAACGTCATCAATATAAGCCGATGCATACTCTTGATGGGGTTTTAGTACCTGATCCATCAAGCGCTGGAAAGTGGCGGGAGCTCCAAACATTACATTACATTTAGCTGTCGCTTTCATCCAAAGTGACTTACATTACACTTTGAATCCATGGCTTTTTACATTTTTGCCCGGTGAGCAATTAGGGGTTAGGTGTCTTGCTCAGGGACACTTCGACTTGAGACATGGGGCAGCCGGGACTCAAACCACCAACCTTGCGGTTCCCAGTGCACCTGCTCTATCCCCTGCGCCACAACAGACCAAAGCGCATCATCCGGGAATTGCCACAGGTCTCCAGGGGTGGCAAAGGCAGTCTTCTCTTTTGACCCGGCCGCCAGGGGAACCTGCCAATATCCCTTTGTAAGACCAAGAGTAGTTATGAATCAAGCCAGGTTTTCAATCAGCTCGTCTTCATGGGGCATGGGATATGCATCAAACTCGGACACTTCATTTACCTTTCTGAAGTCAATACAGAACCGTACGGTGTTGTCCGGCTTGTCTGCTAGGACGATGGGGCTTGACCAAGCACTTTTAGATTCTTCAATTACCTTTTTAATTTCAATATTTTTCTTACCTCTTCTTAATTAGTCTCTTTCGAGCCTCCGGCACCCGATAGGGCTTTTGGTTTACCGTTTTTCCTGGCTGGGTGCGTATTTCATACTCCACTAGGTGAGTGCAGCCCGGGAGGAAGGAAAAGACATCGGGATTACCCTCCACTAACTCCTTGGCTTGCTGTAGTTGATGAGGGGAGAGATCAGGACCAAACTGTACAATGTCCCGCGCCGGTTCTCTTGTCTCACTAGGGTCAGTGAAGGTCTCTCGATCGCACCATTTCTTGAGGAGGTTAATGTGGTAAATCTGCTCACCTTTCCTTCTCCCTTGTTGCCGTACTTTGTAGTTGACTTCCCCCACCTTTTCAATTACTTCGTAGGGCCCCTGCCACGTCGCCAAGAACTTACATTCCACCGTGGGGACCAGGACTAAGTCTCTGTGTCCCGGTTGGAATTCTCTGGGTTGGGCTTCTCAATAATAAGCGGCACTCTGATCCCTCTGGGCTTTCTCTATGTGTTCCTTTACAATGGGCACCACGGCAGCCATCCAATCTTGCATCACCCCCACGTGTTCGATCATGGTTCGATGGGGACAAGGCTGTTCCTCCCAAGCCTCCGTGGCTATATCCAGAAGGCCCCTAGGTTTGTGGCAATACAACAGATCAAAGGGTGAGAAGCCAGTGGAAGCCAGAGGAACTTCTTTATCGCACAAAGTAAGCAACTGGTCCCCGTTTTTTCCATCCTTATCGATGGCCTTCCTCAGCATGGTTTTCAGGGTCTTATTAAACCATTCCACTAACCCATCTGTCGGGGGTTTGTACACCGAGGTCCTCACCTGTTTCACCTGCAACAGCACACACAATTCCTTGGTAACTCTAGACATGTAGGGGGTTCCTTGGTCGGTAAGAGTCTCCTTCGGAATCCCCACCCGGCTGCTGAAGAGGAATAGTTCTTTGGCTATTTGTTGAGCATTAGCCTTCCTTAAGGGAACGGCTTCCGGATACCGGGGGGCGTAGTCTACTATAACCAGCATATACTGGTGTCCCCGGGCGCTCTTGGGTATCGGCCCCACAATATCCAGGCCCACTCTTTCAAAGGGGGTCTCTATGATCGGCAACAGGATGAGGGGGGTTCCGGTAAGTCGGCCATGGCGCAGTGATCTGGGCAACTGCGGCAGGAGTTCTCAACCTCCTTGTGGACTCCCGACCAGAAGAACCTCTGCAAGACCCTTTACTTTGTTTTCTCCACCCACAAGTGAGCTCCCAGCAAGTGAGTGTGGGCCAATTGCAGGACGGTGGAACTATGGTGTTGGGGGACTAGGAGTTGTTCAATGATCTGGTCCTTTCGTCTTATACACAAGGCCATTTTTCACAGCAAAGTGAGGATAGGAAGGAGTTAGCCGGGGTCCCACCAAGGTTCCCTCTAGCACCTGAACATTGGTATGGGCATTTTTCAGGGTGGGGTCTTGTAACTGCGCTGTTCCGTACTGACCTTTTAAGGGGCAGCCTCTCTCGGGGGCCCCCCGCGTTCAGAGGGCCAAAGGGAGGGATGCCCAGAGGAGAACCTCTATGGTGACGCACATTTGGCCGAGCGGGTCCCGAAGCCATAGGTTCTTTTCCTACTACTTTCACTACTCACGAGCTGCTGTAGCTTCAAAGGCATGGAGATACGCTTCAACATCGTCTGTCACTCCTAGTTTCAGGATGAAATCCGCTGCCTTGTACCTTGTACCTGTTGGAGCTGTTGGTGTTGCGCTGATTTCTTGCTAGGCCCTCTAGCTCTCCAGCAGCATCTGCACCAGGGGCTCCATTTGGAATTGGAGCCCTTGTATTCAAAGTCTTCAAAAAAATTTCAAGAACAAAGGTTTATTCTGTCGTGGCCCAGCCAAACTCAGGTATTTAGTTTCCAGCAAAAAAATAAATATCTGAAAAAAACACGAACAACTTAAAACGTTCCAGAGGAGATAACATGCTCTTAATCAAATCACTCAACTTCACCAGACTCCTTGCCTGTAATCGTTGGAGGTTTTCAATCTTTCTCATCGGTTCTCCACCGATACATAACTCCTTTCCTTTCCCTTGTCCCAACACTTACTCAACACTTACACCTGTGTAAGTGTTGAGGCCTTCCGGGATCTGTAGTTAGACTGCAGCTGCCATTTTGTAGGGTGCAGCTGTCCCTTAAAAGAGAAGTAGCACCCATCTACTACTTGTCCCCGTGTGATGCCACACCGGCCAGTGAGAAAATCATCATCATCATCATCATCATTCCTCTATCATAACTGGCCCGCTCATAGAGCTTTGGATGCCCATCGGGCTTTTGCCTGTTACCAGTTAATACCGGCAAGCTCCTTTGTCTCCCGGTTTTGTTTTATTCTCTGACTCGGACAGTGACAGTATGCATACACGGCCGATTCAGAAGCTTTTACATTCTTGTTCACCCTGGAAAGTAGAATTGAAGTGAATAATTACAACTACTCTTAAAGAAAAAATAGTATGAATTGACAATTTAAAAAAGCATATGTTGTTTGACATATGTTGTCTGGCTTGTAATATATAAAGAGAGTGTAAGAGATCGAAAAGGTTAAAAAGTCTGGCTTACGGGACGGCTGTGAAGAATTACCAGCTTGGTCACACGAATGTTAATCTTGACTCCCAGACTCTTGTGCTGGAACATATTGTAGACCTGAAAGACAAAGCAAAACTAGACTACTACTGGAGATATATGTAAACACACATGCATATACAGTATATACAGTATATATATATATATATATATATAGAGAGAGAGAACAGTTTTCAATTCAATGAGAAAATGTGTCCAAACTTTCAAGTGGTACACAAATATATGATGATAATGTATTGAGTGAATGGAGAACCGATTCTACATAAAAAAGCGAAAAAAGAACTAACCATGTTCATGACTGTCAGCAAGAACCTCTGTGCTGCCTCAGCTCCGTGGTACTGCACCATATTAGAGTCGGCCACCACCACTGTCTCCACAGTGTATGCTTCCTGCAGGTGAAGGACGTTTCTCTTCCTGCGACCCTTCTCCCCCATGTTTGGCATCTTCTCCTTACCTACCAAAAACAGGAAGAGATACAGACCGGAAACCCAAGGTTATGAACACTGCAGAGGAGTAACAGAGGAACTTAATATGTAGTAGCTTTTTTCAGATTCCAGATGAAGCAAGTTTGATGGGCAAAATTTACAAATTCTTTACAAATTTGCAGCCTTTATAATTTGTACACATAGTACATCCTCTGTCTCTGAACCCTCTCATCGGGACAGGAAACCCCAGAATGAACAATGTTCTCTACTAGGGTAATACGGTATTAAAACCCACTTTGAGGAACTCCATGACCTAATGTTCTAATTCATGGATGTTTTATGCATATATATACACTCACCGGCCACTTTATTAGGTATACCTGTTCAATTGCTTGTTATCACAAATTGCCAATCAGCCAATCACATGGCCAGAGCTTATTGCACTTAAGGCCTTTAGATGTGTTCAAGACAACTTGCTGAAGTTCAAACCGAGAATCAGAATGGGGAAGAAAGGGGATCTAAGTGACTTTGAACGTGGTTGTTGTGGTGTGGTTGTTGGTGCCAGATGGGCTGGTCTGGGTATGTCACAAACTGTTGATCTACTGGGATTTTCTGGCATCTCTAGGGTTGAATGAAAAAAAGGAGAAAATATCCAGTCAGCAGCAGTAGTGTGGATGAAAATGACTTGATGTGAGAAGTCAGAGGAGAATGGGCACACTGATTAGAGATAGTAGGAAGGCAACAGTAACTCAAACTAGACAATGCATTTCTTGCTCAAAATACAATGGAATGCTGAAAGCTAAAATCTGAAATGAAAAGTGTTTTTTTTAAATGCTGAAAATACAGAAATGAGAAAACCTAGTAGTAGTTTTAGTATCAATAGCAGTAGAAAAACTAGTAGTAGTATTGTAAGGAGCAGTACTGGTAATATCAGCTGTTTTACTAATACTATTATTCACAGTAGCATGTATAGTACAATTAGTTGTAGTCTAGTACTAGTACATTTTGTTGTAATCGTAAGAGTAGTAATATCAGCAGTGTCGCTACTACTAGTAGTAGTATTTGTAGTACTAGTATTAGGAGTCAGTTTAGTATTAATAGCAGTAGAAAAAGCAAGTAGTAGTATTAGTAATAGTATCAGTTGTATTGTTACTAGTAGTACTATTCATTGTAGTTGAGGTATTAATAGCAGTATAATACTAGTAGTACTTTTTTATAGTAGTAAGAGTAGTGGTATCAGTTGCAGTGTCACTACTACATTACATTACATTACAGGTCACTTAGCAGACGCTTTTATCCAAAGCGACTTACATTCCACTTTAAACCCATGGCTTTTTGCATTTTTGCCCGGGGGGCAATTAGGGGTAAGGTGTCTTGCCCAGGGACACTTCGACTTCAGACTACTACTAATACTAATACTACTAATATAGTTATAGTAGTATTTTAGTACTACTAGTAGTATTAGTAGGTCATATGGCCCACTATGACCGCCACGACTGGTCCTCGGTCCACATAGTCACTCGAGAGAAAATTATCCTCGGTAGGAAAACAGAATCCCTGCACAGGCCTGCAGAGAGTTATTCAAATCTTGTTGTTTCGAGTGTAGCTGTTGCCGTGGCAACCCATTCTTTGCAGTAAACTAGGAAGTAATGGTAAAACAGGAGATGCTTTTGAGGGACTAAACATGCTAGAATTGTAATAAAACATGGCACACACATTTAAAGTCGAATATGTTCCATTATTATTATTGATGATTACAATAAATTATTATTTTAATGCTTCCAAATGGCAATTTGACTCTATAGCACTCCATACACATATTAATTTACATTACATTACATTACATGTCATTTAGCTGACGCTTTTATCCAAAGCGACGTACAATAAGTGCATTCAACCATAGGGTACAAACTCAGGAGAACAAGAAACAAGAAAGTGCAATTTCCTGAAATAAGCCAATTTACAATTTGCTATAGATGAGTGACGTTACAAGTACAATTTAAGTGCTACAATTTGTTAGTCTTTAGTCGAGGTAGAGTCTGAAGAGGTGTGTCTTTAGTTTGCGGTGGAAGATGTGAAGGCTCTCTGCGGTCCTGGTGTCTTCAGAGAGCTCGTTCCACCATTTCGGCGCAAGGACAGCAAAGAGTCGAGATCTAGTCGAGTGTTCGAGTGAGGGAGGGACGAGTAGTTTTGCAGATGCAGAGCGGAGAGTGCGGGTTGGGATGTAGGATTTGACCATGTCCTGGATGTAAGTTGGACCCGATCCATTCACAGCATGGCAGGTGAGCACCAATGTTTAGAACTGGATGCGGGCGGCCACCGGTAGCCAGTGAAGAGAGCGGAGGAGTGGAGTAGTGTGGGAGAATTTCGGAAGGTTGAAGACCAGTCGAGCTGCTGCGTTCTGAATGAGCTGCAGAGGTTGAATGGCGGTGGCAGGGAGACCAGCCAGGAGGGAGTTGCAGTAGTCCAGGCGGGAGAAGACAAGAGCCTGAATCAGTACCTGCGCTGCCTTCTGAGTGAGAAGGGGACGTATTCTCCTGATGTTGTAGAGCGTGTATCTACAGGATCGCGTTGTCGCGGTGATGTGGGAGTCAGGGAGAGTTGGCTGTTGAGTGTAACGCCAAGGTTCTTCGCGGTCAAAGTGGGCGCGGAGTTTCCAACGTTGACTGTCAGGTCCTGGGTAAGCGAATCTTTTCCGGGAAAGAGAAGTAGTTCAGTCTTGTCGGGGTTGATTTTCAGATGGTGGGCGGACATCCACTGAGAGATGTCAGTTAGACAGGCAGAGATCCGAGCCGCCACCTGGGTGTCCGAGTGAGGGAAGGAGAGAATTAGTTGGGTGTCATCGGCATAGCTGTGGTAAGAGAAGCCATGCGAGCGAATGACAGCGCCAAGAGAGTTGGTGTAGAGCGAAAACAGGAGGGGACCCAGTACGGAATCCTGAGGAACTCCAGTAGTAAGAGGACAAGGTTCCGACACAGATCCTCGACAGGTTACCCGGTAGGTGCGGCCGTCGAGGTAGGACGAGAGAAGGGAGAGAGCAGAGCCTGTGACACCAAGTTCCTGAAGGGAGGAAATAAGGATCTGGTGGTTGACCGTGTCAAATGCAGCAGAGAGGTCCAGAAGGATGAGGACAGAGGAGAGAGAGGCGGCTCTAGCAGTGTGGAGTTGCTCTGAGACAGCAAGGGGAGTCTGTGGAGTGGCCTGCCTTGAAACCTGACTGGTGGGGGTCAAGGAGGTTGTTACAGTGGAGATAAGAGGAGAGTTGATTAAAGATGCACGTTCAAGGGTTTTGGACAAAAAGGGAAGAAGAGAGACCGGTCTGTAGTTGTTTTCTTCAGAAGGGTTGAGGGTAGGTTTCTTCAGGAAGGGGTTGACTCTTGCCTCCTTCAGAGAATTGGGAAAACAGCCAGATAACAGAGCGTTGTTGATGAGACAGGTGAGGAACGGAAGACGGTCAGGTGCGATAGATTGTAGAAAATGTGATGGAATGGGGTCAAGAGGGCAGGTGGTCGGACGGGCAGAGGTTACTAGGGTAAAAATTTGGTTAGGAGAGAGGGCGGTGAAAGAGGAAAGTGAGGGCGAAAGAGGTGAGGTTGGTGGGACGCGAGAAGTAGGAAGTGGGTTTGAGAAGGAGGAGCGTATGTCAGCTATTTTCTTGGTGAAGTAGTTGACAAAGTCTCCTGGAAGAAGGGTGGAGGGGGGAGGAGGGGTAGGGGGTTCGAGGAGATTGGAGAAGATCGAGAAGAGTTTTTTGGGGTTAGAAAATGAAAATTCAATTTTGGATTGGTAGAAAGAGCTTTTGGCAGCAGAGATAGAAGCAGAAAACGAGGAGAGGAGAGATTGAAATTTAAGCAGGTCGTCAGGTCATTTATATTTACGCCATTTCCTTTCCGACGCTCGCATGGTGGCTCTCATGGCACGCACCAGTTGAGACAGCCACGGAGCCGAAGGGGATTTGCCAGTCCGTTTTGTCGTAAGAGGGCAGAGAGAGTCTAGAGAGGAGGAAAGAGTTGAGAGGAGAGTGTCTGCAGCAGCGTTCGGATGCAAGAGTGAGAAGGAATCAGTTGAAGGGAGAGCTGATAGAACAGAGGATGCCAGCGAGGAGGGAGAGAGGGAGCGAATATTGCGACGAGCCGGTATAGAGTTAGTCAATGAGGGAGGTTTGTTAGTTATAGAGAGTGGAAGGGAGTAAGAGATGAAGAAGTGCGAGTCGCTGACTGGCAGTTCCAGAGACCTCCTATGACGAGGTGCTGGACATGTGTGGAGCGGGTGGGATCGGTGAGAGAGGAGAGGTTACGATAGAGAGCAGATCTAGCCCGAGGCCTGTAGTATCTGCGGGAAGAGATTCGGACAGGTACGGGTAAAGACAGACGGGGTCAAACACATTATTAAAAATAGCAGAAGAAGGCGCCGCATTCAGCCGCCCCGAAGACTCCACGAAAGACTCCCTGGTCTTTGTCCTGCTCGTCTTGACTCCCACGAAAGACTCCCTGGTCTTTGTCCTGCTCGTCTTGACTCCACGAAAGACTCCCTGGTCTTTGTCCTGCTCGTCTTGACTCCCAAGAAAGACTCCCTGGTCTTTGTCCTGCTCGTCTTGACTCCCACGAAAGACTCCCTGGTCTTTGTCCTGCTCGTCTTGACTCCCACGAAAGACTCCCTTGTCTTTGTTCTGCTTGTCTTCGTGCTGCGAGGATAAGCTAACGCTTCCCACGATTTCTAGTTAAATACTCCCTCGTTAGTGGAAGTCGGCTGCGGCTGCGCTGGCCGCTCCCCCGTCGTTTAGGAGACAAAAGGTCGATTGGCCTCGACAGAAACTCCTCAAAATGCAAAACACCAATAGCTTGACACCCTAATCAGTGAACAATCACCATGTGGTGTTTTGACAAAATGAGAGTTTAAGGATTCAAGTCTTATTTGCTTCAGAAGACAAGGCAAAACAGACTTAGATCAGGTCAAAAGCTAGCAGAACATATTTACTATTTATTTGCGTAAAGAATATGCAAATAAACTGAAAAGAAAGTATGTTGGGGCCATGCTCAAAACCGTACCGGAATTAGGCCATTTTTGTGTGATGTTTCCGTTCTTTGTTCCCCCTTTTTGGGGTTTAATGTCATCAGAAATTTTATACAGCTCGCTGATATCACCTTTTTAGAGATATGGGCCAATGAACTTCTAAGGGGTGTGGCTTAATATGTCAAAAAAACATTTGTAGCATATGTCAACATCTCATCCCTAAACATACCATAATTTGTAAAAATGTAAACACTAGGGTGTGCTGCAGTTAAGCGCTCAATATCTGCATTGTTAGCCAATTTTTTCAGCGTTTTATGAAGTCCTCCTCCCAGAGATTAATCCTTCTTTTCAAATTCAGGCAGTATGATCTTTGCCTAAAAAGTCCTAAAAAGATTGAAAAAAATATATGTGACCTTGGTGCTTTGGCAAAATACCACAATGGTTTTAACTTGGTCATACATTATCTAATGTGCTCCATATTTCTCATATGTCATGCCATCCTCCCTGTAGACATCCGTGTGATCATTTTTAGTCCTAGTCCTATTGCTACCTAGTGGCAACAGCTACAGCTAAGTTACATGTTTTTTACTTTATACCCTACTCCTCACATTCCCTCTTAAACGTTGTCAGAAAAGAAAGGACCTCTGACCTTGATATTGTAAAACAGTTTGCAAACCGTCATTCTCAGAGTCGCTGCAGGCGGTTAACAACGACTCAGTCGCAGATGCTTTGTCCGATGTCTTCAGTCTTGTTTTTAGCCGGCCAGTGCCCCAAAGTGAGCGGATAAGCGAGGACCAGTCCTTCTCAGCTTGCAGCTTTAATCTTTGGTTGGATTCAATTCATTTATTCAATATGTTTTATTCCAAACCAAAGGATTTACATTCTAATCAATTATTTTGTGTCAGTTTGCTGCCATCATTCTTTTAAGTTGTTGTTGACCATTGTTGACATCCGGACTGTACAGACTGGGGATCTTTTCGGGACTGTGACGGCTTACAGCTTTTATGAAGACAGCCGTGTCCCATCACGCACCAGGGTGAGTTAGAACAATGACAAACCCTGCTTCACACCTAAAGTCAGACGGCTACAGTTGCAAAAGGATCCCTCAAAGCCAGCCCAGACTCTGGCTCCCCCTCCAACCTGAAGCATTGTGGTGATCAGCTGCCTCTGTCTGGAGATATGCCACGTACCAGCCTGCTTCAAGGCCTCCACCATCATCCCCGTCCCCAAAAAAACAAGGATCAGAGGACGTAATGACTACAGGCCCGTCGCGCTGACCTCTGTGGTTAAAAAGTCCTTTGAGCGCCTTGTCCTGTCCCACCTAAAAACCTTTACCGACCCTTTACATGTAATGTAAAAGATTTTTTCACCATTTTACTATTTTTTCTGAAGAATGTTTTATGAATGGAATGACCCCTCCTGTAGACGATACTGTCAACATGGCCCTCCAGCATCTGGACTCCTCAGGAACCTACGCAAAGATCCTGGACTTCAGCCCTGCATTCAACACCATCATCCGTCTCTACAGCAGGACAAACTCTCCCAGCTGTACGTGCCCGACTCCATCTGGAAGTGGATCACAGACTTCCTGTCTGACAGGAAGCCGCATGTGAGGCTAACATGTCTCAGCCTCTGGGTCTATCAGCATGAGTTCCCCCCAAGGCTCCGTTCTTTCCCCTCTGCTCTTCTCTAGGGCAGCAGCGTCGGCAGTTGTTGAGAGTCACATGACGCAGACAGAGAAGTCTCTTCAACTCAACTCGTCCAAGGTATGCAAGCATTTCACACTAAATAAACTAATCGACCGGCAAACCGACGTTTGCGGAGATCTCCCTCCGTGAATCGGAGGCCATCCACGCCTCCTTATAGTCCGTTTTTGCAATATTAATTTGAAGTTCTGTTTTCAAATAAAGGGTTGGAAATTAAAGCTTTTAATGCTGTTTTTTTATCTGATTCATCGATTAATCAAAGAAATAATCGTCCGATTAATTGATTATCAAAATAATCGTTAGTTGCAGCCCTACTCTTCTACCTGTACACAAACAGCTGCACCTCCAGTCACCAGTCCATCAAGCTCCTGACGTTTTGTGGATGACACCAACCTATCATCTATCATCTTTGATGGGGATGAGTCCGCCTACAGGTTGGAGATTGGTGGTGGTGCAGCCAAAACAACCTGGAGCCCCACATTCCCCCATCACCGATGTGGAGTCCTACCCAGTGTTTCCCCTACCGTTATAACATGGGGACGGATCACTCCGAGCATCAGTGTGACCAAATTCCAAATTCCTTTGTCATCCATTCTAGTGGTTTATGTCACTCACCTCGTACGATCCAGCAGTTGCCATCTGGAGAAGAGCTGGTCGTGGCACAGCGTTGGTGTCGCAGCAGCCAGTGTTTCATTCCCGAGAAGGACTGATAGGGGCCATATTCGCCCACTGGCTGAATGAATAGACTCTCCTCCCTGATCTGGATGAGCCCAGTCTATGCACAAAACAGAGACATATACAGAATGAAAGCATTGTTAAAGGTGCTCAGTCCACCGTTGAGGAGCTAGTGAGGTGTAACCCGGATGACGCGCCGGTGATGAGTCTGCATTTTGTTGTTGTGTGCTGAGCACTCCTCTACTCCCTCTTCACCTAAAACTGCAGACCCGTACATAGTTACTATCAACATTGTCAAGTTTGCAGACGACACACGGTGATCATGGTGATCTTGGTCTCATCAGCAACAACTACAGGAAAGAAGTCCAGCACTTGTCTTGTGTGGTGCGCCAACAACAATCTGGCACTCAAGACCAAGAAGACCAAGGAGCTCATTGTGGACTTCAGAAAAACCAAAGGTGGCACACACTCCCCCATCTCAATCAACGGGACGGAGGTTGAGCGTGTTGCTAGCTTCAAGTTCCTGGGTGTCCACATCTCCGAGGACCTCTCTTGGACCCTCAACATCTCAACCCTGATCAAGAAGCGCCTGTTCTTCCTGAGGAGACTGAAGAAGGCTCATTTGCCCCCTCAGATCCTGGTAAATGCACTTATTGTACGTCGCTTTGGATAAAAGCGTCCGCTAAATGACATGTAATGTAATGTAATGTGAACTTCTACCGCTGCACCATCGAAAGCATCCTCACGGTGTGGTACGGCAGTTGCTCTGCTGCGGACCGGAAATCTTTCCAGAGGGTGGTGAAAACTGCCCAGCGCATCATGGCTTTCTTACTCCCCACCATCAAGACTGTCCAGCACAAAAAATGTCTGCGGAGGGTGCGCAGCATCGGGGACAACTCTCATCCCAGCCATAGACTGTTTGCCCTCCTCCCCTCTGGGAGGAGCTACAGGGCCCTCCGCTCCCGGACCAGCATGTTCAGGAACAGCTTCTTCCCTGTCACCGTCACCCTGCTGAACTCCACCACGGTGATGGCCCCTAGTCCCCTGACAATAAAGTTGAATATAATCTAATCCAATACACATTGTTCTGTGGTTTGAGCCTCCCCTGTGGCATCATGAAATGTAAAAAACAAATAATTCTAAATAACTACTTGCCCACTGATCTGTGATAGAAATGTAATTATTGTATGATTACATATGAAAACAAGTCTCTACACGCCCCCTCACCGCAAGTGACTCTCTGTGACATACACTCTTGCAAGCATACTCCTTTAAAGTAGAGCCAGACCCCTTTTCCTCAATTCTAGTCAAGACATGGTCCTCAAGAATAAAATGAATCCAGTGTTTCCTTACCATTGTATGGTACTGGCACCCCCATCCTTTTACAATCATTCACCAATCTCGCGCAGACACGCACCACCACCACCACTCAGTCCGTCCGCGTACAAATTGTGTGCGCCATACAAATATAATATATATATATGTATATATATATATATATAATATAAAGGACGGATATATATATATATATGTACAGATATATAAAGGATATATATAATAATATAATATAATAAATACTAATATTTCACATCCAAGCACACACGTGTTCTTTTATCATTAAACCAAGAATTTTCATGATAAGTCTTTTGTTTCATAAATCCCAGTGCCAGTTTTAGTGTGTAAATGTCATTTCCAATTTCCAAGGCCTAAAAGAACGCCTATTGTTTAAAAGGTTAAAGTAGCACAGTGGTTCACAAATTGGTGACGTGGTGTAAGTCGGAAGCTTGTATTATATTATATATATATATATATAATATATAATAAGTAGATTTACTTGGTATTATCTTTTCTAAATTTAATAAAACTGTTAAGTGAGAAAGTAAAGTCATATGTACTTACTTTATAAACAGTGAACTTTTTTTTAGAGTTTATATATTGATTCAAAACAAAGAAGGAAAAGCTATTTTTTTAGGGGGGTACGGTTGCCGAACTACTGCCCCATTTGAGCGACTAATACACCCCTATTTTAGTTATATCATATCCAAATGAGTTCAATAATGCTACCACCTATGTATCAAACTATGCTGATTATAACAAAATACTGTTTTCATATTGATATATTGTTGAAAAGATTGTGATGACGATGGTGCAATGCTGATGTCAGGGGGGCGTCAACTATATTTTAACATCACCCGAGTACAGCCAGGTGTGTTTTGGCTAGAGAGCAAAAGGGCAAACTACTTTTCAACGCATTTGGAGATAAAGCAAGTTTTCTGTTTAAGATGAGTCGGATTTATGTTCTGTTGCTGTTAAGTAATAAAAGGAAGTATTGAAGTGACACTATGAGAGAATGTGCATTGATTTACTGACCGCTCCTACACATGACTATTACTGTAATAACACATTAACGACATGCCGCCCAGGATGTTTGACAAGGTTAACTACAGTCTTTTGATTGTTCTGACAAGAAGTGTAAACTGATCTGATTAAGATCATAGATTGCGCCAAAACACGTACTATAATAGCAACTAGAAAATTACGCAGTAATTTTGTGGCCTAGCCTGTGCATGAACCGGCCAAGCAGGCAAGTGAAGACCAGCCACAAAGGCTAGCTAGCAAACTAAAGACATGACCCATTTTACTCTGGCTGTTCTGTCAGCAGTTGGGTCCTGTCATTACTAGTGCAATGCTAGCTAGCGCCATGTTAGCGTCCTGCTAGCGCTCCCCCCACCATCGGCCGTACCGTCCCCCCCCTGATTTTCTCTGACTGTTTTAGCCACTTGGAAAAGAAAGCAGATCGCTACGTGTGGGACTGGAACCAGAGTCTCCGACATCCAAAACATGATGCCTTACCACTCGGCCAGAAGCCGTGCTATATCCAGGTCGACGAAAATGGGGGTTTTATCTAGAATACACACACAGTATCACTCTACTCAGCTCTTTTGCTGGGCCGTAACGCCCCCCCCTCGACATGACGTTCGACTATTTGCTTTAAAAAAACACATATGTTCGAATGTATTTGATATATTCGTTGCGCATTAGGCACGTCAATAACAGGACAATACACGCCGACATGACGCTCAATGAGATTATTATGTTAGACGCGTTTGTGACGGACGTCTCATCCAGCGAGGAAACGCTACCTGCCGTCGCCAGAGAACAGAGCAGAAAGGTCCCACAGTCTTTAAACGCGTCTTCGTGTTTCTGTGAAGCAGCACGGCTTCAGCCTGCTAACAGGCAGCTAACAGGCAGCTAACCCGAGACAGCTGAGCTAAACTAACGAAGCCACGTTCAAACTCGCCGAAGCGTAAAATAGTCGTCGCGGTCCGTAGTCGGTGCACAAGAACCACCGCTGCACCGATACGAGCGTTCTGGGTTGGTGGATGACGTCATCATGACGCGTTAATATCCGCCGTACTTTGTCTGTCTGTTGTCTGTCGGCTGCGTGCGGATTTAGGGGGGAAAAGTATCGTGACTTCGTCAACCGCCAACATGTTCGTCTCGTATCGTTAACAAAAGTTAGAATAGATTTAGTCATAGTTTTTATTTTTTAAGATCGTTTTCGTCACGTCTTAGTCTCATCTTAGTCATGGAAAAAAGGTTTGTTAACGAAAAATTTTCGTCATAGTTTTCGTCGACGAAATCAACACTGGTACGTACCGTGCGCAACGTGAGCATTAAGACCGAATTAATGTATTTCACTGTCTGTTGAGGTACACTCGATCATTTCTTTATGTGTAATATTGTAAGGGCATATGGGACGAGTGGTTTTGTGTTCTTTTAATGTATATTTGAGGTGAATAATGGGACGTTGCAATAGCTAGCTAACCACCTTGCTTGCGTGCGTGCGTCGATAGCTTTCGCCATTTTGTCTCCACGCGGGTAGCCTATATGTTTCAGTGTTTCTTTTTCTTGTATAGGTTACTGGTTGTTTATGGAGAAGAATCACGTCCATGTTTTTATTTGATTTCTGCATGTGTGTACTTTTATTCTATTTTATTTTATTACCATGTTCAGCAAATGTGATGTTCATTTATATGTATTACGCTAGGAAGTCCGACAATTGTGGTGTAATCCTGTAGGTATTTATGTTGTAGTCTATGTGTGAATAGAAGATATATGCAATGTGATCGGAGAGAAAACAGTTTGATCCGGACATTTATTCTCCATAGTTATTTTTATTTGTTGTATTTTGTTTTATGCTTTTGAATGAATGTAATTCAACATAATGTAATAATGTAATGTAATTCAACGGTCCGTCTGCTCACCGGTGGCTGAGGGGAGGTTACTCGTTGTGTATGGAGAAGAATCACGTCCATGCTTTTATTTGATTTCTGCAGAATAAAGTGCCTGAGGGAATGTGAGAGTCCTGTTATCAGGACCGAACACAACGCAGTAGTCGGCGGACACAGACCGCGCCGGCTACACATAGAATAAAATCCAGTTTGGATTCATGGACATGAGAGTTTCTTCCAGGACAACCTGCCTCTTCAGTTCACCTGTAAAGTCCAGATGAGGAGGATGGACTTACCAGGCCGCCACACGTGCTCAGTGACGCCACAGAACCGGTGTGGTTGATGACGGAACCGGAGTAAAAGCACAGCTGCTTCTTCGATAAACGGCTGGACGCAGCGCTCTGGTCTCCGCGTCTCTCCTCGACCTCGAAGTCCCCTGAGATAAACGTGCTGTCCCACGTAAGATTTAAATACAGCCTCATTCCGAATGCAGTCAGCGACACGATGATCTGGGCCGGGTCGGAGTGTCGTCCCCGCGGGGCGTCCGTGGAGCGCTGCCCGCGGCGCCACGGCGGACTGGCCGAGCGGCCGGAGGACAGGTGCGCCTCTTGACCCGACAGCAGCCGGGGGACCACCTCGTCCGTGTCCTGCTCGGACTGGGCTGAGGGGGGAAACACAGTCGTGACTCTGTGAACCGAACCGTGTGCTTACTCCACACAACTGGCGTTCGCTCGCATTGCTTCCGCTGGCCTGTACCTAAGAGCGAGCCCGCGTAGAGTTCATACGTAGTGTTCTTCTTACCACTCAGTCCGATGCAGAGAATGGAGAGCAGCGCCCGCGTGACGTGGCTGCTGTGCATGTTGCGGTAGAGCAGAAGCGTTTAGCACGGTGCACTTTTTCCCGATGTTGGAGAACTTTCAGTAATTCAGCCCGGATGACACGCCTCCACAGCCTGGCCGTCCACCCAGAGCCGTATGGTGAGAGTCACGTCATCTCCGTTCACTCCACGCCAGCTGTGTCTCATTTGCTGGGCTGTAACTCCGCGAAGGCTTCGCGGTCTACATGGGCCGGGTCCTCCAACGACCGGAAGGCTGAACCGAGCGGGCCCTGAAATGGGACGGTTTGACTAACGGGGCGACCTCCTGCCCGCATCATCAGCTTTTCCTCCGCTGCTCCCGTTGCTTAGCAACCTGCTCCGGCTAACGGTAAACGTATAAAATGCGGATGGAGAAGGTAATCTTCTTAGTCTAACTAATTTAGGAACATATTGCTAACCTGAGTAGCATTTTATATTATTAAAGGATGAGAGAAGGACATTTTACAGTCATTTTACAGTAAATTAAAATCAGTAAGCCCACAACTTACAACAGCAAAAAGTAATAATATTCAACAAATACAGCAACAGATTAACATAAAATATCATGTATTACTACCTTAAATAATATGGATGGAGAAGCTTTTTTGATGCATCACTATTGATGACTTCTGATCTGATGTGCATATCTGAGAGAGCTGAGTTGTACAGTCTATTGACATTTATCTGTCCATATAATGTTGCAGCTCACCTTATGATTGTTTAATGGATGTGGAAATGGAATGTTGCAGGACCCAAGTGAGATTCAAATAGGCCAGCAATATCGGTCTTGAGACTAATGTCTCATATTTGATAATGTTAATCATGTAATCTGTTACCATTATACGTGTTACATGTTGTCAAAATCCAAATTCATTGGTTGTCACGGTAGGCTCTTAACGTTGATAGTACTAAGGATACTTTGTTGCCATATCCAGCAATAACTCTCATAACGTGGACTGGGCGTGGCTTGGAGAAAGCAAATCACATTTCACATTAACACCACCTTCCATGCTGTAAGGTTAGAGAAATGCACCATTTGTTTCAGGAGTGTTACACCAGGTACTGGTTGATACTTTTGTAGCCATAGGCATCCTTTTGCAGAGGCAATTTCATAGTCTATGAAGTTTACTGAGACGTGATTATTGCTGGTTGAAAACTTTAACCCAATACCCGCCAAAGATGACTTGAAATATAGTCAGCTGAGGCAATTTTTGTTAGTCTCTAAGGAGACTTCAGATGATATGTCAATAGTAAGCTGAATTCGACATCGCGAAAAATGAGCTTCTTAAGTTGTTGTCTAGTGTTCTCTCTACAATTTTAGATTTGTTTTAACATCTTTAGAAATCTTGTCAAATTCCTTATTCATTGGTTGTCACGGAGACGTCACATTTTATGTCAATGGTAAACTTTAATCGACATGAGGTTTATCGCTCTCAAATAAACAGAAAATGAGTTTCCAAAATTGTGCTGTATTGTTCTGTCAACAATTTTAGATTTCTTCTAACATCTTTATAAAACTCCTCAAATTCCAAATTGATTGTTTGTCACGGTAGGCTCTTAACGTTGATAGTACTAAGGATACTTTGTTGCCATATCCAGCAATAACTCTCATAACATGGACTGGGCGTGGTTCCATGCTGTAAGGTTAGAGAAATGCACCATTTGTTTCAGGAGTGTTACACCAGGTACTGGTTGATACTTTTGTAGCCATAGGCATCCTTTTGCAGAGGCAATTTCATAGTCTATGAAGTTTACTGAGACGTGATTATTGCTGGTTGAAAACTTTAACCCAATACCCGCCAAAGATGACTTGAAATATAGTCAGCTGAGGCAATTTTTGTTAGTCTCTAAGGAGACTTCAGATGATATGTCAATAGTAAGCTGAATTCGACATCGCGAAAAATGAGCTTCTTAAGTTGTTGTCTAGTGTTCTCTCTACAATTTTAGATTTGTTTTAACATCTTTAGAAATCTTGTCAAATTCCTTATTCATTGGTTGTCACGGAGACGTCACATTTTATGTCAATGGTAAACTTTAATCGACATGAGGTTTATCGCTCTCAAATAAACAGAAAATGAGTTTCCAAAATTGTGCTGTAGTGTTCTGTCAACAATTTTAGATTTCTTCTAACATCTTTATAAAACTCTTCAAATTCCAAAATGATTGTTTGTCACGGTAGGCTCTTAACGTTGATAGTACTAAGGATACTTTGTTGCCATATCCAGCAATAACTCTCATAACATGGACTGGGCGTGGTTCCATGCTGTAAGGTTAGAGAAATGCACCATTTGTTTCAGGAGTGTTACACCAGGTACTGGTTGATGCTTTTGTAGCCATAGGCATCCTTTTGCAGAGGCAATTTCATAGTCTATGAAGTTTACTGAGACGTGATTATTGCTGGTTGAAAACTTTAACCCAATACCCGCCAAAGATGACTTGGAATATAGTCAGCTGAGGCAATTTTTGTTAGTCTCTAAGGAGACTTCAGATGATATGTCAATAGTAAGCTGAATTCGACATCGCGAAAAATGAGCTTCTTAAGTTGTTGTCTAGTGTTCTCTCTACAATTTTAGATTTGTTTTAACATCTTTAGAAATCTTGTCAAATTCCTTATTCATTGGTTGTCACGGAGACGTCACATTTTATGTCAATGGTAAACTTTAATCGACATGAGGTTTATCGCTCTCAAATAAACAGAAAATGAGTTTCCAAAATTGTGCTGTAGTGTTCTGTCAACAATTTTAGATTTCTTCTAACATCTTTATAAAACTCTTCAAATTCCAAAATGATTGTTTGTCACGGTAGGCTCTTAACGTTGATAGTACTAAGGATACTTTGTTGCCATATCCAGCAATAACTCTCATAACATGGACTGGGCGTGGTTCCATGCTGTAAGGTTAGAGAAATGCACCATTTGTTTCAGGAGTGTTACACCAGGTACTGGTTGATACTTTTGTAGCCATAGGCATCCTTTTGCAGAGGCAATTTCATAGTCTATGAAGTTTACTGAGACGTGATTATTGCTGGTTGAAAACTTTAACCCAATACCCGCCAAAGATGACTTGAAATATAGTCAGCTGAGGCAATTTTTGTTAGTCTCTAAGGAGACTTCAGATGATATGTCAATAGTAAGCTGAATTCGACATCGCGAAAAATGAGCTTCTTAAGTTGTTGTCTAGTGTTCTCTCTACAATTTTAGATTTGTTTTAACATCTTTAGAAATCTTGTCAAATTCCTTATTCATTGGTTGTCACGGAGACGTCACATTTTATGTCAATGGTAAACTTTAATCGACATGAGGTTTATCGCTCTCAAATAAACAGAAAATGAGTTTCCAAAATTGTGCTGTAGTGTTCTGTCAACAATTTTAGATTTCTTCTAACATCTTTATAAAACTCCTCAAATTCCAAATTGATTGTTTGTCACGGTAGGCTCTTAACGTTGATAGTACTATGGATACTTTGTTGCCATATCCAGCAATAACTCTCATAACATGGACTGGGCGTGGTTCCATGCTGTAAGGTTAGAGAAATGCACCATTTGTTTCAGGAGTGTTACAGCAGGTACTGGTTGATACTTTTGTAGCCATAGGCATCCTTTTGCAGAGGCAATTTCATAGTCTATGAAGTTTACTGAGACGTGATTATTGCTGGTTGAAAACTTTAACCCAATACCCGCCAAAGATGACTTGAAATATAGTCAGCTGAGGCAATTTTTGTTAGTCTCTAAGGAGACTTCAGATGATATGTCAATAGTAAGCTGAATTCGACATCGCGAAAAATGAGCTTCTTAAGTTGTTGTCTAGTGTTCTCTCTACAATTTTAGATTTGTTTTAACATCTTTAGAAATCTTGTCAAATTCCTTATTCATTGGTTGTCACGGAGACGTCACATTTTATGTCAATGGTAAACTTTAATCGACATGAGGTTTATCGCTCTCAAATAAACAGAAAATGAGTTTCCAAAATTGTGCTGTAGTGTTCTGTCAACAATTTTAGATTTCTTCTAACATCTTTATAAAACTCCTCAAATTCCAAATTGATTGTTTGTCACGGTAGGCTCTTAACGTTGATAGTACTAAGGATACTTTGTTGCCATATCCAGCAATAACTCTCATAACATGGACTGGGCGTGGTTCCATGCTGTAAGGTTAGAGAAATGCACCATTTGTTTCAGGAGTGTTACACCAGGTACTGGTTGATACTTTTGTAGCCATAGGCATCCTTTTGCAGAGGCAATTTCATAGTCTATGAAGTTTACTGAGACGTGATTATTGCTGGTTGAAAACTTTAACCCAATACCCGCCAAAGATGACTTGAAATATAGTCAGCTGAGGCAATTTTTGTTAGTCTCTAAGGAGACTTCAGATGATATGTCAATAGTAAGCTGAATTTGACATCGCGAAAAATGAGCTTCTTAAGTTGTTGTCTAGTGTTCTCTCTACAATTTTAGATTTGTTTTAACATCTTTAGAAATCTTGTCAAATTCCTTATTCATTGGTTGTCACGGAGACGTCACATTTTATGTCAATGGTAAACTTTAATCGACATGAGGTTTATCGCTCTCAAATAAACAGAAAATGAGTTTCCAAAATTGTGCTGTAGTGTTCTGTCAACAATTTTAGATTTCTTCTAACATCTTTATAAAACTCCTCAAATTCCAAATTGATTGTTTGTCACGGTAGGCTCTTAACGTTGATAGTACTAAGGATACTTTGTTGCCATATCCAGCAATAACTCTCATAACATGGACTGGGCGTGGTTCCATGCTGTAAGGTTAGAGAAATGCACCATTTGTTTCAGGAGTGTTACACCAGGTACTGGTTGATACTTTTGTAGCCATAGGCATCCTTTTGCAGAGGCAATTTCATAGTCTATGAAGTTTACTGAGACGTGATTATTGCTGGTTGAAAACTTTAACCCAATACCCGCCAAAGATGACTTGAAATATAGTCAGCTGAGGCAATTTTTGTTAGTCTCTAAGGAGACTTCAGATGATATGTCAATAGTAAGCTGAATTCGACATCGCGAAAAATGAGCTTCTTAAGTTGTTGTCTAGTGTTCTCTCTACAATTTTAGATTTGTTTTAACATCTTTAGAAATCTTGTCAAATTCCTTATTCATTGGTTGTCACGGAGACGTCACATTTTATGTCAATGGTAAACTTTAATCGACATGAGGTTTATCGCTCTCAAATAAACAGAAAATGAGTTTCCAAAATTGTGCTGTATTGTTCTGTCAACAATTTTAGATTTCTTCTAACATCTTTATAAAACTCCTCAAATTCCAAATTGATTGTTTGTCACGGTAGGCTCTTAACGTTGATAGTACTAAGGATACTTTGTTGCCATATCCAGCAATAACTCTCATAACATGGACTGGGCGTGGTTCCATGCTGTAAGGTTAGAGAAATGCACCATTTGTTTCAGGAGTGTTACACCAGGTACTGGTTGATACTTTTGTAGCCATAGGCATCCTTTTGCAGAGGCAATTTCATAGTCTATGAAGTTTACTGAGACGTGATTATTGCTGGTTGAAAACTTTAACCCAATACCCGCCAAAGATGACTTGAAATATAGTCAGCTGAGGCAATTTTTGTTAGTCTCTAAGGAGACTTCAGATGATATGTCAATAGTAAGCTGAATTTGACATCGCGAAAAATGAGCTTCTTAAGTTGTTGTCTAGTGTTCTCTCTACAATTTTAGATTTGTTTTAACATCTTTAGAAATCTTGTCAAATTCCTTATTCATTGGTTGTCACGGAGACGTCACATTTTATGTCAATGGTAAACTTTAATCGACATGAGGTTTATCGCTCTCAAATAAACAGAAAATGAGTTTCCAAAATTGTGCTGTATTGTTCTGTCAACAATTTTAGATTTCTTCTAACATCTTTATAAAACTCCTCAAATTCCAAATTGATTGTTTGTCACGGTAGGCTCTTAACGTTGATAGTACTAAGGATACTTTGTTGCCATATCCAGCAATAACTCTCATAACATGGACTGGGCGTGGTTCCATGCTGTAAGGTTAGAGAAATGCACCATTTGTTTCAGGAGTGTTACACCAGGTACTGGTTGATACTTTTGTAGCCATAGGCATCCTTTTGCAGAGGCAATTTCATAGTCTATGAAGTTTACTGAGACGTGATTATTGCTGGTTGAAAACTTTAACCCAATACCCGCCAAAGATGACTTGAAATATAGTCAGCTGAGGCAATTTTTGTTAGTCTCTAAGGAGACTTCAGATGATATGTCAATAGTAAGCTGAATTCGACATCGCGAAAAATGAGCTTCTTAAGTTGTTGTCTAGTGTTCTCTCTACAATTTTAGATTTGTTTTAACATCTTTAGAAATCTTGTCAAATTCCTTATTCATTGGTTGTCACGGAGACGTCACATTTTATGTCAATGGTAAACTTTAATCGACATGAGGTTTATCGCTCTCAAATAAACAGAAAATGAGTTTCCAAAATTGTGCTGTATTGTTCTGTCAACAATTTTAGATTTCTTCTAACATCTTTATAAAACTCCTCAAATTCCAAATTGATTGTTTGTCACGGTAGGCTCTTAACGTTGATAGTACTAAGGATACTTTGTTGCCATATCCAGCAATAACTCTCATAACATGGACTGGGCGTGGTTCCATGCTGTAAGGTTAGAGAAATGCACCATTTGTTTCAGGAGTGTTACACCAGGTACTGGTTGATACTTTTGTAGCCATAGGCATCCTTTTGCAGAGGCAATTTCATAGTCTATGAAGTTTACTGAGACGTGATTATTGCTGGTTGAAAACTTTAACCCAATACCCGCCAAAGATGACTTGAAATATAGTGAGCTGAGGCAATTTTTGTTAGTCTCTAAGGAGACTTCAGATGATATGTCAATAGTAAGCTGAATTTGACATCGCGAAAAATGAGCTTCTTAAGTTGTTGTCTAGTGTTCTCTCTACAATTTTAGATTTTTTTTAACATCTTTAGAAATCTTGTCAAATTCCTTATTCATTGGTTGTCACGGAGACGTCACATTTTATGTCAATGGTAAACTTTAATCGACATGAGGTTTATCGCTCTCAAATAAACAGAAAATGAGTTTCCAAAATTGTGCTGTAGTGTTCTGTCAACAATTTTAGATTTCTTCTAACATCTTTATAAAACTCCTCAAATTCCAAATTGATTGTTTGTCACGGTAGGCTCTTAACGTTGATAGTACTAAGGATACTTTGTTGCCATATCCAGCAATAACTCTCATAACATGGACTGGGCGTGGTTCCATGCTGTAAGGTTAGAGAAATGCACCATTTGTTTCAGGAGTGTTACACCAGGTACTGGTTGATACTTTTGTAGCCATAGGCATCCTTTTGCAGAGGCAATTTCATAGTCTATGAAGTTTACTGAGACGTGATTATTGCTGGTTGAAAACTTTAACCCAATACCCGCCAAAGATGACTTGAAATATAGTCAGCTGAGGCAATTTTTGTTAGTCTCTAAGGAGACTTCAGATGATATGTCAATAGTAAGCTGAATTCGACATCGCGAAAAATGAGCTTCTTAAGTTGTTGTCTAGTGTTCTCTCTACAATTTTAGATTTGTTTTAACATCTTTAGAAATCTTGTCAAATTCCTTATTCATTGGTTGTCACGGAGACGTCACATTTTATGTCAATGGTAAACTTTAATCGACATGAGGTTTATCGCTCTCAAATAAACAGAAAATGAGTTTCCAAAATTGTGCTGTAGTGTTCTGTCAACAATTTTAGATTTCTTCTAACATCTTTATAAAACTCCTCAAATTCCAAATTGATTGTTTGTCACGGTAGGCTCTTAACGTTGATAGTACTAAGGATACTTTGTTGCCATATCCAGCAATAACTCTCATAACATGGACTGGGCGTGGTTCCATGCTGTAAGGTTAGAGAAATGCACCATTTGTTTCAGGAGTGTTACACCAGGTACTGGTTGATACTTTTGTAGCCATAGGCATCCTTTGCAGAGGCAATTCATAGTCTATGAAGTTTACTGAGACGTGATTATTGCTGGTTGAAAACTTTAACCCAATACCCGCCAAAGATGACTTGAAATATAGTGAGCTGAGGCAATTTTTGTTAGTCTCTAAGGAGACTTCAGATGATATGTCAATAGTAAGCTGAATTCGACATCGCGAAAATGAGCTCTTAAGTTGTGGCTAGGGTTCTCTTCTACCATTTTAGATTTGTTTAACATCTTTAGAAATCTTGTCAAATTCCTTATTCATTGGTTGTCACGGAGACGTCACATTTTATGTCAATGGTAAACTTTAATCGACATGAGGTTTATCGCTCTCAAATAAACAGAAAATGAGTTTCCAAAATTGTGCTGTATTGTTCTGTCAACAATTTTAGATTTCTTCTAACATCTTTATAAAACTCCTCAAATTCCAAATTGATTGTTTGTCACGGTAGGCTCTTAACGTTGATAGTACTAAGGATACTTTGTTGCCATATCCAGCAATAACTCTCATAACATGGACTGGGCGTGGTTCCATGCTGTAAGGTTAGAGAAATGCACCATTTGTTTCAGGAGTGTTACACCAGGTACTGGTTGATACTTTTGTAGCCATAGGCATCCTTTTGCAGAGGCAATTTCATAGTCTATGAAGTTTACTGAGACGTGATTATTGCTGGTTGAAAACTTTAACCCAATACCCGCCAAAGATGACTTGAAATATAGTCAGCTGAGGCAATTTTTGTTAGTCTCTAAGGAGACTTCAGATGATATGTCAATAGTAAGCTGAATTTGACATCGCGAAAAATGAGCTTCTTAAGTTGTTGTCTAGTGTTCTCTCTACAATTTTAGATTTGTTTTAACATCTTTAGAAATCTTGTCAAATTCCTTATTCATTGGTTGTCACGGAGACGTCACATTTTATGTCAATGGTAAACTTTAATCGACATGAGGTTTATCGCTCTCAAATAAACAGAAAATGAGTTTCCAAAATTGTGCTGTATTGTTCTGTCAACAATTTTAGATTTCTTCTAACATCTTTATAAAACTCCTCAAATTCCAAATTGATTGTTTTTCACGGTAGGCTCTTAACGTTGATAGTACTAAGGATACTTTGTTGCCATATCCAGCAATAACTCTCATAACATGGACTGGGCGTGGTTCCATGCTGTAAGGTTAGAGAAATGCACCATTTGTTTCAGGAGTGTTACACCAGGTACTGGTTGATACTTTGGTAGCCATAGGCATCCTTTTGCAGAGGCAATTTCATAGTCTATGAAGTTTACTGAGACGTGATTATTGCTGGTTGAAAACTTTAACCCAATACCCGCCAAAGATGACTTGAAATATAGTCAGCTTGAGGCAATTTTTGTTAGTCTCTAAGGAGACTTCAGATGATATGTCAATAGTAAGCTGAATTCGACATCGCGAAAAATGAGCTTCTTAAGTTGTTGTCTAGTGTTCTCTCTACAATTGTTCTCTCTACAATCTTAGATTTGTTTTAACATCTTTAGAAATCTTGT